TGATGAAAAGACGAGGGGGTGAATTCGCCTTGGCGAACCACATGACCTATATTGGGAAATTAAAACACACAACTCAAGAGGCCAGTGATAGTATTGCTTTACTTTACCATAATTACTTTTTTGGGGGATGCATTGAGATATGAGCACGTAACCTTTTTCTGAATGCGGACGGTGAAGCTGAGACAGAATTCTGGTTTGATATTGCCGTGTTATTACTTTGCAGTTAACCATTGTACGGCAGCGAGACAAGCTTGAAGGATGGTTCAAACATTTCCTCGTAGAGGATAAAGGCATTAACCCGGCTGCCACTAGTTACGTGGACTTTCTGTGCCAAATGCATAAGGAAATCAGAAACTTAATGAACTGATCGATATGCGACTACTCATCACACACAACAAGAAATGAATTGGGAACACTGTGCCAGTGGAGACAAGACAGATGCGTAAAAAATTCCCTTCAGTTTTCACAATGGCTCGAAACTGCAGCTCTGAAGCGCTTCTTAGTGTTCTGAGTAATGGTGAGACGTTGAACCACCACGGAGAGCAGATGGTTAACAAGACGTTTATATAACTGATTGAAAATGTGCTATCAGAGTTTTGTTTTTAAAGTCAGCTGCATCCAGCATACGCAGCGGTCTTAAATATTTACTGTCTCTGGGTTTTGTTAGCTTTAGTAGCTTTTACATGCCACAGGAGATTAAAAAGTAGTACATCCAAATCAAATTACTCAAGAAAAGTTTATAATTAATTGAATGTCCAAAGAAGAACATCGCAGATGTTTTGCTCCGTAGATGTATAAAAAAGGAAAAATTCCCCGTGTTTCAGGTGGACCTGTGCCCCCCAGTCCAGATCAAATTAAGCTTTAATAGTTTACCACCTATGAGATGTAAGTTCATATTAGTTATCATTATTTCCATTCCCATCTGAATAAAACCAAGCTTATGACTGATTTCATTTGTATTGATGTCTTTCCTGTGTTAGGAGAGCAAGTAAGGTGCAGTGGTGAGACGCTCGCTCTCCTGACCAATGTGGCCCGGGTTCAAACCCCAGCGTCGGAACCATATGTGGGTTGAGTCTGTTGTTTGCTCTCTCCCTTGCTCTGAAAGATATTTCCCTGCGTACTCTGGTTTTTCTCTCTCCTCAAAAACCAAACGACTACTAAAATTTCCAATTCCAATTCCAATTCCAGCGAAGAATCAATTTGAGTTATTTGTGTTTATTTATTTCACAGTTTCCTGGAATTTGAATAAGGTGTTTTCGAGCAAAATCTTTCTTGATTGGAAAAAAGGATTGTTGTTTAGACACAGCGTGTTACAGCTGTGAGCAGAGTCCTTTGTAGTGGGAAAGAAGAAAGACTGCAGATAGTGGATGACGCAACTGCTTTCCAAAATACTTGTCCGCTGGATAATGTTTTACCTGATGCATAGCCCTGTTCAACGTTTGAACAACCAGGGCCAGGTGACGGTTGTTCAAAGGCTAAATAGCGCTAATGTAACAATAACAAAACAGAGCGCGCAGATCATTAACGAAACAAACACAAAACAGAGCTCGCACAAACCAGAGCGCGCAGGTCATCAATGTCGCAAATACAAAACAGAGCGCGTAGGTCATTAATGTAACAAACACAAAACAGAGAGCGCAGGTCATTAATGTAACAAAGACAAAACAGAGAGCGCAGGTCATTAATGTAACAAACACAAAACAGAGTGCGCAGGTCATTAATGTAACAAACACAAAACAGAGTGCGCAGGTCATTAATGTAACAAACACAAAACAGAGTGCGCAGGTCAATAATGTAACAAACACAAAACAGAGTGCGCAGGTCATTAACGTAACAAACACAAAACAGAGTGCGCAGGTCATTAACGTAACAAACACAAAACAGAGAGCGCAGGTCAATAATGTAACAAACACAAAACAGAGTGCGCAGGTCATTAATGTAACAAACTCAAAACAGTGTGTGCAGGTCATTAATGTAACAAACACAAAACAGTGTGTGCAGGTCATTAATGTAACAAACAAAACAGAGTGCGCAGGTCATTAATGTAACAAACACAAAACAGTGTGTGCAAGTCATTAATGTAACAAACACAAAACAGTGTGTGCAGGTCATTAATGTAACAAACACAAAACAGAGTGCGCAGGTCATTAATGTAACAAACACAAAACAGAGTGCGCAGGTCATTAATGTAACAAACACAAAACAGAGTGCGCAGGTCATTAATGTAACAAACACAAAACAGGGTGCGCAGGTCATTAACGTAACAAACACAAGACAGTGCGGGCAGATCATTTATGTAACAAACACAAAACAGAGCGCGCAGATCATAATTGTAAGAAACAGTTTGAGTTGTGATGAACCTCAGAATTCTCTGAACGCGCGGCAAAAAAACGAACGCTTTTATTGGTTGGTTACAAACACACCGCATTCGTCTAGTTTTGTCTGAGAGAGAAGTGACCGTGAAAATTCGATTATTTATTCGATGACAATCAGACCAAAGAGTATTCAAGCCCACATAATGAGTTAACTTACACATATGTTCGTAAGAAGTCCTGGAAGATGGTTTTGATTTTATAACGATGTTCACGTTTTGCTGGCGAAATCCGAAAAAAATTGTTGTTTGGCGAAGATGGCTGTCATCTTATGATAAATCTGTTTTGCGAACTTTAAGTTTTTTGAAAGTCTTGGATGTATTTTTTACAAGGAGTCTTGAGAGGAACTCGGGGAAGTTGTTTTTATGAGTCATGCAGTTCCCTCTTGGTGATGCATTTATGTCAGGTTTTGGCTCTGTGCAATTTGTTTTTTAAGCTTAACTTATGGGCATAAGTTTTCGCTATTTCTATATAATTAAATTGGTTTCAGAAGGATAAACAAACTTTAAGAAGAAGGAAAATTTACAGTTAGATGTTTTCCGACTCATGTACAGACCAACTTATGGTCTTTAATTATTCCCAGTTCAATGTCGGTCTTCAACCACAATTTTTACAACTCGGACCAGACAAATTTTTACTGCTTTTGCTGCTAGTTTGAGTGGCCAGAAGCTAAAATCCAAAAAGCTATCAAGTTCTTCGTTCTTCCTAATTTTCTTCAGTTATTGAAGAGTTCGAAAACTCACATCTCATTTAACTGGTATTCCTCTCTTGCCTTTGCAAGAGAGAATGTGCATGTTCCCAACTTGCCGTATGATTTTTACCTGTAAGTCCATAATTTGATCCCAGTCCACTGCATCACAGCTTTTTGTTCGGACAGGCTTTTTTCATCGCACAACCTTTATCCGGCCTGGTAACAAACACAAAACAGAGCGAGCAGATCATCAACGTAACAAAGACAAAGCAGCGCGCAGGTTAGTTAAAAAGCACAAACCAGAGCGCACAGGTCACTAATATAATCATGGATCAGAGCGTGCTGGTCATTAAAATGTAATAGCCTGTTCCAGGCTCTCAGATAGTGGGGAAGACGCGAAAGAAAAAGGCACGCGACCCCAGTTTCCTTCCGTTTTATTTTAGTGTTTGTGCTTTCTCAATTCAGCGGACCCAACTATCTCGGAGCCTGGAACAGGCTATTAATGTAACTAACACAAAACAGAGCGCGCAGGTCATTAAATTAACAAATACAAAACAGAGCGCGCAGGCCATTAACGTAACAAACACAAAAAAGAACGCCCAGGTCACTAACGTAACAAACACACAAAAAAGCGCACAGGTCATTAATGTAACAAACACAAAAAAGAGCGCATAAGTTATTAAAGCAACAAACACGAGACATAGCGCGCAGGTCACTACCGTAACAAACACAAAACATATCGCATAGGTCTCCAAAGTGACAAACTCAAAAAGGAGCGCACCGGTCACTAAAGTAACAAACACAAAACAGCGCGTATTTAGGTCGCATTCCCGATCAAACACTTAAAATTCTGTTCTTTCTTGATACATTTCCCTCCATGTTAATTCCCTGGTTTATTCAATTTGAAAAACTACAAATCCTTCCTCTCTTGACAACAAGTATTCTAAAATTTTCAAGTTAGAGGTTGGTATAAATATTATTACATCTACGCAAGTAACGTTCCCTTCCTTACTCCTTGCTACGCATGCACCAATACAAAAATACTGGCTTGAAGAGCTACAAAACTCTGAAATATTTATCTCTTTAAAAAAGAGCTTGTCAAAACTAAGCACCGGTATATGTATGTATTAGTGCGTTTTAAGTTTTCGTAATGCCATCATTAAAAATCTTTCTCCTTTTAAGTTTCCACAATTTAGTGTTGCAGAAGGTGAGAGAATTGAAGCCTAAGTGTCTAACAAACTTTTTAAGACCAAAAACACCTCTGTTCAACAAAGGTGTTTGGCATGTAACAGCAAAACAACAGCAGCAACAATGACAATAGCCACTTGAGTGGGTGCATGCGGTTACTGTTTTCGTTGTTTAGCTAATACACTTTTCGGCAACATACTCCTAAAATACACTTTACTCCTCTAAATGTTCCTAAAACTAAGCTATAACTAAAGCTAAACACATTTTTTCAGATTTAGCAAATACTAATGCGAAAAAATATTTTTGGAAAAAAATTGGCCAAAGCGATTCAAATGATTCCGATATAAGTCAAAAAGTTTCCTGTTATTGACAAAATGGGTGATCTGCTCATTTTTTAGACCTCTACTTTCATTTAAAAATAAAAAATTAGTGAAATCACAAGAAAGATGATATCTTTGTGGGATTTCCCTAACGTTTAATCTTAAATGCTTAATCTCAAACTCCAATGAACAGAATCCATTTCTTTTGAGCCCTTTAAATTGCAGCACCTACTGTTTTGAGGGTAAGGGCATGTTATTGTTTGAGTACTTTATCGAAGCCTGCAATGACAGCCATCATTTCATCGCAAACAGTGAAAATAGCACCTGACAAAAAACCTCCTAAAATAGCTTTCATACATTAATCTCCACATACTATGCACATTTAACCTAATAAATTCATATAATACTAATTATCGTGAGTGACACGATTTATCTTTGTCTGTTTTCTGTATCATCATCACCAGAGGAACATATCTTTGATAGAATAACTGTCATTGGTGTTACGTCCTCTTTGAACAACTCGGTCACGTTGGCAAACTTGTTTTTAATGTTTCGCTTGTGGGTTGCTGCATGAAGCAGAATAACTGGAGAAAAATTAAAACATTTTATGCAATTACTTGGCTGTGCCAACTTTACATGTCAACCTAAAATGGAGTGGAATGTTTATTCTAAAAAAATAATTATGAAAGTTTAAATTCCCCTGCCAATTACTGGTAGTTTTATCGAATAAATCTTTAGCTACTCTACACGACAGTTCATTTAAGGAAGTGCACTATTAGAAATGTCCCTTAAACGTCTGACGAGCAAAAGTTTAAAACTTCTCAAACTGAACCAGGAAACCTGAGTCTTTTTCTCAAGAGTAATGGTTAATACTGTAGTTATAGATCAAACTCAGGCTAATATTTAACACAGTAATAGATGTGTAGACAACTATGACAGCCAAAGAAATCCTTTCTGTCCATTTTTACAAATCATATACTTCACTGTTTAGTAAGACCATGTGTCAAGTGGCCGCTTACCAAAGGTTAAAAGCAATAGAATATTCTTAAACTGTCAGCCGAAAAAGTGGTTGCGGTCGCTTAGGGGAGGTGTTCGTTTATGAGTGGTTCCCTGAATGAGGATATTTTTGGTGTTTGGGAGGGTGGTCGCTTATGGGAGGTGGTGAACTATGGGAGGCCTCGAAGGGGAGGTGAATAGTGGTATATATATAGCAAAACGCGAAGCATCAAGGTATATAATTATCTAGTGCTGTTCACCTACCCTGAGGGGGATAGTTGTTTTAGTATTTACCAAATCAGTTGGAAAAAAAATGAAAAAAGTAACTTTTTGTAAATTACAAACGTCACTTGGTAGGAACTTTATTTACAATTTACAAACATTTCTGAGATTTTGTCAAGTGCATTTTTACGATTTTGTTGCAAATTCAGGATGAAAATAATAAATCTTACCAGTAAACACCGACAAGCCAAAGTTAGTCTCTTTCTTGGTATTATTTTGTTTGTATGACTGCTTCATTTATTGCTCAAATTTCCAAACATATCTCGAAGTGAGAAGCCATCTTGGCTCTGGATGCAAAACAGTGAATAGCCAAGGATATTCCGAGTTATGGGAGCCAATTAACACGTGCGAAAAGTGCTACTCACTGATTTGGTAAATACTAAACTAAAACAGTGGATAGTGTTTTTTGCATGCTCTGATTGGCTATTCAAACTTGGGATATGCGGTGCTATTCACCTCCAAGCCAAACCAAACTCGTGCAAGTTACCAGAAAAATGGAACCCGGTTTGCTGCCACAACAAACAAAGAAATTTCACAAATAAATGAAGCTGTGGCTGAAAAACATGAAAAAGGCAACAAAAATTGGTTTGGCAGTTTTTACAGGTAGCTTTGTCTGTTTAACATGAATTTCTTAATGAAAACAACGAAAAGGTTATTTGTGTACAAATGTAAATTAAGTCTTGCATTACTATATTTAGCTGACATGTTCATAAATAACTTTAAAACTAAATTAAGAGCGAATGCACAGAAAAATCGAGCAAAATCGGCAAATCGTGGCCACAGCTCAAAACCTAACTTACTCTCATTTTCAGTCTGTAATAAGGTTTTAATGAGTTTATAACACTGCTGAGGTTTAAATTTCAAAATGCGGCCGAGTTTGGGAATTATTTGAGATTTTCGATTTCAACGGTCTGCGGGCCTAAAATTAGCCGCCGAACACGGCAAAATAGCCTAACGACAGAAATGAGCTGACTTTCATAAACGAGCGAATATATTGCCAATCTTCCACTTAAATCTCAAAAAGTAGATATCTAACAATTTCTGAATGGCTTATTTTTTAGATTTAGAGTATAAAATATCGACGAACCAGCAGAATTTTGAAACGTAATTTGCATAATGCTTATAAATACAACAATTTACCGCTAAAACCAAAATCGAATTTTCTATATGGGGGAATTCTCCAAATCACCCCAAATCCCGCTTACTAACTAATGAGATATAGTACTTCAACATTATCTGAAAGTTAGTCTGGTGTTCTTGCGAACGCTTGTAAAATAGATTGATTATTTTGAAGTTATTTTGCCCCAAACAACTGCTAATTGACCCCAGGGTCAATTGACACGTGCACGTCACCTTAGTTTTATGCATCGATTTGAGCTCGTTAAAAGGGAGAAACTAACAAGATTCTTTTAATATGTACCTGTTTTATTGAAATACACGCAATCCTCAAAGGAGAGGCCGTTCAATGGGTAATTTCTGTTCTTGAGATCTTGTAGATTGTACCATGGCGTCTGCGAGTGGACCTGAGTCTAGGTCTGTTTTCCCGTGACTGCGAAATCAGAATAACATCAAGAAATAATTCTCCCTCGTATCTTTGTAAGTGAATCAGCTTTGCAATGCCTTACCTAAGATAACAAGTGGGCCGAATAGCAAAACATTTCCAGCGCAATTTGGATCCTTTGTCGAACGCAGTGTATTGCCGAGCGAAAGGTCAGTAAACAAACGTGGGAAAGTACGTTGCCTTTGATTGCGTGACCAGCCAGTAAACGATAGTCTCCAGCGAAAAATAAGATTCGCAAAAATCTTGCTGATGTATATTTAACAGTTTGTTACTATAAATTTACACCTGGTTTGTCTAAAACTTTAAACAATGCATATCTGTCCAAGAGTATAAGAATGTTTCGAAAGATCCACCCCTAAATAACTGTGGGCCAGTCCTTTTTCCCCATCACCGATGTGTACTTCCTTCCCACTGTCTTTTGCATGGGGCTTGTATGCCTTTTTAACTGTTATCGACACTTAAAACTGGCCGTTTAAGGCCTGGTTTAAGAACTTGACTGACTTAAAAAACCGTCGCGAACATGCGCTATTATTGTTGGACTTTGGAAGCTTAAAAGCCCAAAATGATGGTGCAATTTCGAGAAATTTGCCCGGGTCTAATAAAAAGACAGGGAACGGGTACTAAGAAAGGGACGGTCTCATTTAGCAACCCGTGGACAATCTGGGCATGCTTGCCTTCTGTCGAAGGGGCAACCGTTAAGGCCAGGTGCCCCGCCCCACCGAGAGGATTGCATGGCATCCACCATTTCAGTCGCTTTTTCCACATCATGACCTTCAATTATCATGAATTATAATGCGGGCCTTGATCGTTGCCACCTTACCAGAAGTCTAATCTTCGCACTGTTAGACCATGAGAATCTCTATTATTATTCCATAAATGCACCATTGAATTTTCCTTGCTCAGCTTCCGGGAAACCGATACCCCGAACCAAAAATAGCTTTACAACGACTCTATCCAGGCCAGAACTCCTGATATCAACAAATATACCCCCCAACTAATGAGAGCAAACGTTCCCCGAAATATTCACTTGACCCACCCCATCCCTTCGTTAAGAAAAACTACGCGCTCAGTTCACTGGACAAAACGCGCTCGTGAATATACCAAACTATAGCCGAATATCCTACAAGCAATCTCAGTTTCAGCAGGCGTGGCCACGTTTCCAGTTGCTGTAGGATTAATTCGACTCCTGCAACAGACACTGTAAATTAAGTAGCAGCCACAACGCCTTTCTTTGAGACCGTCAGGACGAGAAAGTTTATAAAAGACTTAACAGGTGCCCGCGGCGGTTTTCTTTTCTTCCTTCCCTCCCATTGTAGCACTCAAATTCTGACCCTGGTATTTATTCTAGTAGTAATCAATCGTTCCTGAGCCGATAGGCACAAGGATACCGGTTTCTTGCAAAATATGCTGTGACATCCGTTTGCTCATCCCCTTTTCTGCCTTCGGCCGCTGATTAGGTTTGGTTCTGTGCTTTGAAATAACTTTAAGAACGAAACATGATACGTGAGGGGCGTGTCTGGCTAAGGGCAAGTGACTCTCGGTGGTGAAGACATATATTGAGCTTGTCAGCATTTCGTAACCTGTAGCACGTCGCGAAAATAGAACAAGCCAAGAAAAATAAGACGCCTTTCTTTCCCCAGCCCCCGCAGGTTTTTCGCATTACTTTTTACTGCACAACTGATTCTACCTTTTCGAGCCGGAGCGAACATGGACGCCCTTAGGGTTAAGTTTCCACTTCATTTTCGGCACCTGACTAAACGCAAGCGCTGACTTGTGCGCCTATGCTTCGTTTGCACTGAAGTAGCAGTATATGACCACGACAGACTTGCTGCTATCCTTGGTTTGAAACCGCAATGGGCAAGAACAATTTCTTGAAAAGAGCAAACTATTTCCCCCTTAGCAGACATGGAGAAGAACTACTAGGACTTAAGCAATGCCATTGCTTAATTAAGTCCTACTAGACTTGAAAAGAGAAAGCATGATGCTTTCTCTTTTTAATGATTTACGGCTAAACAGTACAATTTCATGTAGCTTTTACGCAAAATTAAATACTTAGTTATTTGCAGATTTGCATTTAACAACAAATTACAGAAATTTAACTAAGTTTACACCTCATAGATAAGAATTGAACGAAAAAAACTTTTGGGGTAAAAAAGTAAAAAAATAATGTTTGATGGAAAATCACTTAATGGACACACAATAGCAGAGATATCATGCCTGTAATTTTCTGTTCAATGCACCTTATGACAAGTCTGACTAATCCACTGGTAACCCATGCCTTAAAACCGCCTTGAACCTTAAAATTTAATCCATTTGCCTTTCATGCGTAGTGCAAATATATCTTCTGAACACTCCGGGGTTAGGGGTAAAATCAGAAGAACAGAACATTCAGTTACTGTACCATTTTTAAAAAGTGGGACAGTATGTTTGCTAATCATCTTAGTTAACCGCTTTTAAAATAGGACAAAAGGACACCTGGTCATACAGGAAAATGAATTTACTGTATCCCGAAAGCTTTGGTTTCACATGCACTTATTTTTCGCTGGAGACAATCTATAATTGCCTGGTCACGCAATCGGAGGTGAGTAACTAATTTTAATTAGTTACTCACCTGACTTTAAAAAGTCATTAATACCATCGCCGCTTAGCAAATACACTACGTGCTGCAAAGGATCCAAATTGCGCTAGAATGTTTTCCTATTCTGCCCACTTTTTATCTCAGGTAAGGCACTGCAAAGCTGATTCATTTACGAAGGTTCGAGAGAAAATTATTTCATGATGTTATTCTGATTTCGCAGTCACGGGAAAACAGACCTAGACTCAGGTCCACTCGCAGACGCCATGGTACAATCTACAAGATCTCAAGAACAGAAATTACCCATTGAACGGCCTCTCCTTTTGAAGATTGCGTGTATTTCATTAAAACAGGTACATATTAAAAGAATCTTGTTAGTTTCTCCCTTTTAACGAGCTCAAATCGATGCGTAAAACTAAGGTGACGTGCACGTGTCAATTGACCCTGGGGTCAATTAGCAGTTGTTTGGGGCAAAATAACTTCAAAATAATCAATCTATTTCACAAGCGTTCGCAAGAACACCAGACTAACTTTCAGATAATGTTGAAGTACTATATCGCATTAGGTAGTAAGCGGGATTTGGGGTGATTTGGAGAATTCCCCCATATAGAAAATTCGATTTTGGTTTTAGCGGTAAATTGTTGTATTTATAAGCATTATGCAAATTACGTTTCAAAATTCTGCTGGTTCGTCGATATTTTATACTCTAAATCTAAAAAAGAAGCCCTTCAGATATTGTTAGATATCTGCTTTTTGAGATTTAAGTGGAAGATTGGCAATATATTCGCTCGTTTATGAAATTCAGCTCATTTCTGTCGCTAGGCTATATTGCCTTGTTCGGCGGCTAATTTTAGGCCCGCAGACCGTTGAAATCGAAAATCTCAAATAATTCCCAAACTCGGACGCATTTTGAAAATTAAACCTCAGCAGTGTTATAAATTCATTAAAACCTTATTACAGACTTAAAATGAGGGTAGGTTAGGTTTTGAGCTGTGGCCACGGTTTGCTCGATTTTTCTGTGCATTCGCTCTTAAATGTTTTTGTTTTTACAGAAGAGTTTCAAATAGAGAAAGTATTTACAATTCCTTTGCAAGAAAGTTTTATTTATTGGCAAGAAAACATGACAGCCATTTGGTCAGTTGGGCACCAAACCTTTAGTCATTGGCATCAATAAATAATTTAAAAATCATCATTTTGGCTCAATTATCTCAGTGCTGGTTTACATTCTTTTAAGGTTCTTGTAAAATTTACTGGTACACTACTGGTACTCTAAAATAATAATTTTTATCTGTTGACATTCATAGTATCAGAAGCTTCAAGCTATGGTTGCAAACAGCTGATCAAGTAATTGCAGGCCCTTGAAACTTGATTCCTGAAAGACTGGCATCATTCAACAGTATTAAGGATGACGAGGGGGTCATGCAAAGTGTCCGTATTAACATGGTGTCAGTATGAAGCAGGTTGAATTTAGAAAAAATGCAAGGGCGTTTTTCCCCAGGGACAAAAAAAAAGTCAATAATGAGGTGTCCTTAAAACAGATGTCCATGAAGTGGGATTTAACTGTATTGATATTTCGCAGAAGCCGTAAGAGTATCGATTCACCTACCTGCCAGAGGCATACTCACTCCCCAAAGAAAAACAAGCATGGACCCCAGTGCATAAATAATAAACACTGCAAGACCAAGCACAGAGGCAGGAACCAAAAAGGGGTACCGACGCTTGATGCGAGCGACTCTTGATTCACGACTCTGTGCGACTCCAAACAAAATGAAGGTTGACACCAGGGAGACTGTACCAATCATCAAATCCTTTGGATACATAACCCTGTAAAGTGAAGTAAAGATCAGTGTGGGGAAGGTCAACAGGAACAGATGTACATGATTGATTAGCCTAGCACTAGGCTCTGCATAGTGGGAAAAAAAGGCAAAATGGGGTAAAACAACAAAAAAGTTGGCAAGCCTTCAAAGTGATCCAATGTTTTTCTGCCTTTTTCCACTACTGCGAAGCCTGGTCCCAGGCTAGTGTTTTATCTGTTTTAAAGGAAACTTCATTTTTTCCAATAGTTTGAGTGTTCTGTTGGATAACTGCTTACAGAAGAGAGCAAGGTAGCAGAATGGGTAGGTTCAAAAGGACAGAAGACCCATGCAAGGCCATGTGGTTGCCCATGGTAGGGTTGCAAAAGCCATCTTAAAATAAATGGAACCGTTAACTATTATTTCAAAACAATAGGTTATGTTTCAGAACAAAGGCTAATTAAGAGTCCAGGCCATTAAGGCCTACATTCCCCACACTTTTAAACAGCAAATCTCCTTCCACAAGGTAGGACAAAGACAACGCCAACAGCTAAATGTCACTACTCTGTGATGTGCTCACAGAAAGATGTAATAATTGATAATCACAGCTCCCGGCTGCCGATTTTACCAGTTGATATTTTATGGTTTACATTATATCATAGAATAATAAAGAATCATTACTTGACGAAAATAATGCTCTGATGTGATAAGCAGCTATTTGCACAGGAAAAAATAAAAAGATTCCCATTTTTGGATACTTTAAGGTGTTTAAAGAATACCCACAAAAATCCCAAATTTGGAAGAGTGAGACAAGTCCCAACCAGGGAAATTGGTTGGCAATTCCCTGGTTGGGACTTGTCTTACTTTGCCAAATTTGGGATTTTTGTGGGTATTCTTTGAATATGCTAACATATACGATATTGGGAATCTGTTATTTTTTCCTGTGTTGATGGTTAAGAAATGATGTAAAAACAACATCTTATAAGGTCAATGAACTTTAATGGACGGTGCTTGACATTTTAGTGCTGTTATTTGTCACTTTTTATACCACCGACTTTAAACTGCCATACAAATACTTAAGCTTATTATATGCTTTTGGAACCAAGAGGACGTCAAAAGGAGCCTGGATGCCCTGTGGTTGGTGGGTTTTGAATGGCCCAGAGCACATCAATGCCGGGGGGGCACTGCCATATATGGGCTATATAGGTATGTGCCGCTGTGAAGGGTATGGTTTTCAAGCAGTTTACTCTAGGATAGAGTATATAAATCAGAGCGTTTGGGTCTAGAATAGGGTATTATTTTTCAGGAAACTTATCAGTTGGTTGAAGATTTTATCTAGACTAGGGAAACAGCTACTCTAGGATAGCGGGGATTTGGGAGTTTACTCTAGTATACGGTAGCAAAATTCAGCTGAACTAGCTCTGGTATAGGTTGAGGGTTCCAGGGTCCCAGCGGCACATCCCCACCAGAAATTCCTAAAGTACCCCCCCCCTCCCCGGGCATCAATGTCCCTGCTCAGCTCTACAAAAATTCTGGGCAAGCCAAAGCTCTGATCAACCAACTACATTGTAAACAGACTCGAACAAGAGAAATTTCGAAAACCCTTTCAGTTACTATGTCTCGAGGTCACTAAAATAAATTAAGCCAATATTTTATAAAGGTCCGAATGTCCCTAAACCTCGCTTGAAAACTTTGAGCTATTGCGACTTACCCAACCAAAATGAGAATAAGAATGGCACATAGAAGGTAGTTTGTTTGGTAATATATCAGATTGTTAACCATTCTGTTCTCCATCCTATCTCTGTCATGAAAAGTTGGGGCAGTAAACTGAGCATCTGTAATAAAGTCCTGAAGAGAACGAACAGGAGGAAATTGAACCGCCATATTCAACGCGTGTCCTTTGAAAAGCCGCTGATACCCGGTTTGCCATGGTGGGCTCAATAGATAGATGCAGGGTAGATGGCTTTGCGATTTTTCCAGCGATCCGCAAAAATAAGTTCCCGCCAGGGGTCCCCTGGTTCCCCCAAATAAAAACTACTGCAAACATTTTTCCGGCAAAAACTTACTCTTGAGAAAATGTTCTCTAACTTAAACTCGCTACACAAAAATACAGTACTAAGAAATCGTGTCAGTTCAATTATTCAAAAATATGTATTTCCATTGAACGTACCTGACAAAAAAGAAAATATTATCAATGCTAGGTATCCTGGGTATTGGGTACTTTCTGATCATCGCAAAAATTAATTCCCAGCAAGAAAAACCCACCGTCCTAATCGCAAAAGTTAGTCTCCGCAAAACAAAAAAAATCACCAATCCGCAAAAATAATACCCTGAGTACCAGAGGTTTTTCTCGCGCGCGGCGGGAATTTTCGGTGTTGGACGAAGGCCGACAAATCTTCGGCCGTAGGCCGAAGCCGCGAGAAAAAACGGGTCATTTTAAAGACTTGACAGCACCGGAAACCGCGCTAGAAAAGTCTCTGGCACCCAGGGTACAAAAATAAACTCCCGCAAAAAATTTCGTGCCACACGTTAGAGACGGTAGATACTTTTTTATTATACGGACACGAGTGTTTTACTGGAAAATATACCACTCGTAAAATGCATAAAAACTACATCCGAGTGGTTTATATTCCATAATCTCACACGTGAGTTTAATCGATGGCGTAATTTCCGTAACTTCCCTCTATTATTTTATCGCTGTACGTCTTTTTGTCTATATAATAAAAAGAACATTACCCGGCGGCTTGAAGATATGAATTTTATTTTCTCGTGGCAAAAACAATATTTTACTCACTCGCTGCTCTCTTTCGTAAAATATTGTTTTGCCACTCGAAAATAAAATTCATATCTTCGCGCCACCGCGTAATATCCTCTATTTAATGAGGGATCACTTGCCATGATCCGCAGATAATGTACGCGTCACCCTCAGCAAAAAAAATAAACATAAACTAAAATGATAAATGAACTAAATATAAAATAAATATACATAATTAAAAAAGTTCCACTTAAAACAATTGTTACAAAGATTATGGTCATGAAAGGTACGTTTTGAAGTTTCTGTTCAGCAAAAATGTACTGATCGACTGGGCCTCTTTGACGTCTTTTGGGAGTTCGTTCCAGCTCCTAGCTGCTGAAAACTTTAAAGCATTTTTGGCCATACCAGTCGTAACTTTTCGTAGTATCAAATTATGCTTTGCGTTTCTCGTGCTCCCTGTGCCCGCATTATGAATACTGCAGCCGCAGGTTACCCACATGAGAACTGGGAGAGCGAAAGCCTACGCAGCTGGCGGTTTTTGGTGTTTTTTTTTTTCATTGGTGACAAATAGGCACACAACAGCTGTCAACCTCTCTGGTTCGCAAAGTAAGAGTTAAAGCCGCGCGGAAGCTAAAGCGAAGTCGAAAAAAAAAAACGTCGTTTTCTGTTTTGACCTCGCTTCAGAATTCAAGCCGCTCTAATTTTTTACTTTGCAAACTACTAAAGAAAAATAATAATACGCCAAGAAAACCAGTCTCGACCCCAGACCCGTAAGAACTACGGTCGAAAATGCAAAAAAACCAGTAGCTCCTTACGCCCTGAAAAAAACCTTCCAGGTACGCAGCCTGAATACGCATTACCTCCGCATTACCCAGGATGGTAAAGCGTCCCGTCATGCAATGAGGTCAAACTGAATTATCACTAAATGTCGAAAAAACGCACGAAGGAATTCTTTAGAAATCCAGCCACAATGTGCAACCAACTTAAACTGCATCTATTGCTCTGTATAATTTAACGAGGTAGCTAATAGGTGCCCATTGTTTCCCATTTAAATTTTCCATTGAGTATGACTGTATCATAAGCCCCAGACAGGTACGCTCGGCGGGTCCGCGGTAAAATAAATAATAATAGTGAAGATAATGATAATGATAATAATGATAATAACAATACTTCAGAAGGAGTAGGGATTACTAACTGGACTAAGAAGGAACTTTGAAAGATAGACTGAGAAACACTAGGAAGTTGCTGACAATCCATAATGCGATGCATCCCCAAGCAGAAGTGGATAGGTTATGGCTCAGTGAAGTCCAGGCCCCCGCGCATTTGCCTTTTTTTTTTTTTGGAAAAGCTGCAAATGGCTCACGGTGGGGCCGGGCCCTCATACAAAAATCCCATGGTGGGGCTTAAAAATAGGTTACAAATACCCCACCCTGAGACAACAAATCGCATTTTTTAGAAAATAAGCTGCAAATACCATGTTTAAGGGAAATCTGTAATAATAGGGAGCTTAAGCAGCGACGTTTTTGAGCGACGCACGCCAACCGGAAGTGAGGTATTTTCCCTCTTAACATGCCTTGATGATATAAAATTTGTATTCCTTAGCTTCTTTATTTTTATAGAGGCGATTTGACTGAAAATTTGCGCGAAACCACCGTCAAAAAATGAAAAAAGTCCACTTCCGGTTGACGTGCGTCGCTCAAAAACGTTGTTGCTTAAGCTCCCTAATCTGATCAAACTCGTACGTGAAGAACCCGACGCAAATCGCTCCTAGACGCTATGGTTATAATTATTGCAAGAACTTGTGCTAACTATCATGTATATCAGAGCCTGTTAAGGCTACCATGAAAAAATCCAGGTTCTTTGTCGCAGGGTTTTACTAGTCTGCTACACAGCCGTTTTTAGTGTCGTCTTGCAATGCTCCTCGGGGAGACGCCGAAAAAAACGGCTGTATGCAGACTAGGTTTTACTGTACCAGAAACAAAACACAGCGATAAAAATATTGATAAATATTAGAACTACTAAATATACAAACTACTTAAAATACAATCCCCACAACTGTTTCTAGTTTAGTCTCAATTTAAACATAGTAACACGTTAATAAAATAACTGAACCGGTAGAAAATTACATCAAACACATGTACCATCACCAGATATATTGAGCCAAAGCTATACGGTATCTATTTGATACAGAAATAACAACTTTACACTGATTGGATACGATGTCTCATGGATCAAGTTTTCGTATTTGTGTTCTAAAGTCGTTCACCAGAGGCGGATCCTGAAAATTCAGAAAGAGGCGACAAGGACACTTGCCAGCCATATAGATACAATTTATTTTGTTGAGAATTCTTCAAAAAAATTAAAAAATTTCACAGAGAAAGGGGTGGCCGTGGTCCACTCAGCCAACCCCTGATTCCGCCCATGGGATCACTGATTCTGTGTACCTTAAAATACTTGTCTTTTTCCTGTACATGTTGGTACAACAAATTTTACTTGGTAGAGAAAAAATTATCTGCGCTTAATTTCTAAGGCAATAGTTACTCGTGTTCTGATTGGCCCTGGTCCTGATAAACATGATGAAACTACGTTTCTTAACCCTTACACCATCATTTTATTGTGAAGATGATGTAAACTGCGGAAATACAAATTTGAATGACGGAAGATATGATCATCTTCAGAAAATCTTTCACGGGAGTAAGATAAACTCCACGAATTGGCCTGCTCCCAATATATGAACACCGCAGTAATAGCGCCATGAGGCCATGGGTTCGAATCCCAAAATTTGAATGACGGAAGATATGATCATCTTCAGAAAATCTTTCACGGGAGTAAGATAAAAACCACGAATTGGCCTGCTCCCAATATATGAACACGGCAGTAATAGCTTAGCGCCATGAGGCCATTGGTTCGAATCCCAAAATTTGAACGACGGAAGATATAACCATCTTCAGAAAATCTTTCACGGGAGTAAGATAAACTCCACGAATTGGCCTGCTACCAATATATGAACACCGCAGTTATAGCGCCATGAGGCCATGGGATCGAATCCTGCTGAAGCGTTCCAAATTGTTTTCGGGTTAATATGCAATTGCTTAAATTGCTTTTAAAACTGCGACAGTCAGATCTTCATTAAAAATTTATATACTGGTAATAACCAAAGGTTAGGGAGTGCAGGCGACAACGATCAGAGGTCCAAACGCTTTTGCTCCAACGCTGTGCTTTGCGTAAGTTTCACGTGACAGATGGTCAAAACACGCGTGATCAGATTACAAGGGGTAGAAGGTCGAAACGTGCGTGATCAAATTACGTTCCACAGTGGAAATCCAAACGAATGCTGGCTACATACATGCGACGCATGCGTAACAAAACCTGCAGATTAAGACTGCGGGCTCCTCTTGTCGCCATAGCAATATCCTCAAATCTGCAGGAAGCTCTCTCCAGGTCTGCTACAAAGCCGTTTTTAGTGTCGTCACGCAACGCTCCTCCTCAGCGTGACGACACTAAAAACGACTGCGTAGCAGACTATCCACTGACCGGCCGCTGATTTCTAGCCCTCTTGAAAGGTTACAATTTTAACAGGATTTCATTCAAAGATTGACAACTGAGAAGGAAGAAAACAAGAACTTAAAACAAGCGAAGTTTGAACCAAGCAAGTGTGTAAAAACCAAAACCTGATAAGCGGTAATTACTTAACATTTTTTTTCTTTTTTCCGTGGTATGAAGTCATTTTATGACTTGCACTTTATTTTTTAATGAATTGCAATCACAATAAAATTCCGATCATAACGCCTTCTTTTCACCTTTGGCTCCACTGTTCCACTGTACTTAATAGATCCCTAAAATGTCTACAAAAATATTACTGTAGAAATATATTTTTAAAATATTGCCAATTGAAAAAAAATATATGAAGAAATAAACATAAACATCAAAACGGCTCCACATTTCCTAAAGCTGTTATTATCTCGCAGTAGATTTCAATTCCTCGCAGAAAGACATTTTCATTGAGAAACTCGTTGTGATCGTGAAGAAGAATCGGAGTGTTGTTCATTGGTGAAAAACCGATAGCAGGATAACCAAGCTGGAAAGAAAAGGAGACAAGATTAAATAATAGCATTTGGTCTGTAATTATGTGAAAGAAAGCAACGCAAATTAGTGACTATATATTTGTACGGGACCCCAACACCAACTTCTATTTGCTATTCATCCGGGATTAAGTCTCTTCTTAAACGTTCTATGAAATTTCTGCTCAACAAATGTTCATGAGCACGTGATGAAGCTTTATGTCCTATTGCACTGACCGATTTTAAATGTTCTAACAGGGCTCTTAATAGCCAATCAGATTCGAGAGGTTTGTTATAACTATGAACTTTCAACGAAACAAGGTTTTAAGTTCAAAATGGACTAACAAGTTAATGCTTGATAAAACACCGTTAAGAGTTTGGTCAACAGTGTGGGAAACGAGCTTTTCTAAGATACGCACGAGAAGAACAAAACAAACATGTTTAGGCAAAGACGATTTTGCTTTCCAAAACCCTAGGTTTGGGTGGGGGTGTTCCACCGAGACCATCAAACCCTGATCCTGTCTAAGACAATGATTGCTGATTTCGCTGCCCTGTTTAACACAAGAGACATCTTTTTCGTGGCCCAAATGTAACACTTTGTTTACGAACACCATCTTCATTACTTTAACTTGGAGTTGATGAACTTTTTGTAAGTATAAACAAAGTGTAAGTATAACAAAGACTCGCAACTCGGATGCAGAACGCGAGCCAAACAAGAAAAACATCCTTAACAAGACGCTAAAGAGTTAAACTGTACACCCTGTCTCAGGCTCAAGTCACCCGAAATCCATACCCTGGTCGGCAGCATATACCCACTTAGGACAAAGAAGGGAGTGCCTGCCGGACCCAAACCACACCAAAATCATTAACAGCTAAAACTTAAATTATTAACAAATACAGTATCTAATGTCGAATGTTTTGTTACCTCACGAAGGAAACGACTGTCTGTTGCGGCGGAAAATATTTCTTTCTCTATTTTCATTTCCCTGAAAAAAAAAATCGACAAAATTTAATTCTTCAGCTATCTACTATATTATTACAAGGTTAGAAGCCTTTTTTCGTTTGTCATGGTAAAATAGGTCTCATATGGCATATATCTTCCTTATAACTAAACAGAAAACTCAAAATCAATCAATATACAATCAGGAAATAGCCAGGGAGGGAAAAGGGAAGGGAGCCTTCCTTCCTCCTAATCCCCTTTCGACAACTGCTACGCAGGCAGGCTAACTCTAAAGAAAGTTGTAAGTGGGGAGAGAATGGAAATGGTACTAAATTCTTAGTGTGGGAAAATGTGCAAATACATGCAAAGACTTGCAATACTTGAGCTTGTGATGGATTAAAAAGTCAACTCTGATCTGATTTGCCGAGGCAGTTCAGAAAAGAAATAAATACCTTTAACAACAGTAACGTCGCTCAAAATCGCTCTCTCTTAATCTATGTCATCATCGACAAAGAGGAGAGCTTACGGACCTAAGTCAACGACAGCAAAGACAACGTCCAAAAACAGAGGATCGGTTGTTAAGACGGAGTCGAGCTGATGTTTAGCAAAAACGAGTAAAAGTCATTTCTAATTTGGCTATCTTAGTAGCTATACTTTTTGTTTATCACAAACAGTGTCTAGTCTGCATGGAACAAAAGTCAGAAGACATGTATCCGCCTGAAACAACACAGTTACCCGCCAAAGATCTGAGGTCCAATATTAGTCTTAAAACGTGTTTTAAAAGTTAGTCTTGGTTAACTCCTCTGCACGTGAATGGTACTTTTAAGTTCCTTTTTTCCCAGTTTGTCGTGCTTTCAACAACTACGACGTCAAAAGGATGCGAAGTCTCGCGAAAGAGACGTCAAGACACGACGACGGTCTTTCTTGTACTAAACTTGGATGCGGCCTCTGCGATTCAACTCTAGACAATCGAATTCATTATTGTCGAGCATAGGCTACGTTTAAAAAGCAGTCCACTGGAATAACTACAACGACGGCTTTCGACGTCGTCGTTCCGTAAATCCCTAGTTTCCTGATGATGACGTAATCAAGGATAAGGGAAACATGAGAGCGAGGCCATAACATGAGCAGAAATTGGTTTAAAACAAGACATTGTTATATCACTTACATTTTCGTGCAAGCTGTACTGAAAGCATTCCACCAAGGATCATCTTCGGACGTTGACGTCAACACAGCATTTCCAGTTTTCTGAGATCAAAGTAAAAGAGAAGCATTCATATTCGTGTTGCCAATACCACGAATTGTCCATTTTTAATGAAACGGAAATTTGAGATCAACACTAAGTTTTGCACACCACGCGTGCTGTGATTGGTCATAGCCTATAATCTACCAGAGTAAAGAAATCCGCAGACAAATTGTTTTATTTGTTTTATCCTACAAGGCGCAAAATTTTGAAAACGTTCACGAGATTATTCCGGATGTGAGCAAGTGAAGGCTCAAAAGTAAACATTAAGCAGAAGTTGTGTACAAGTAAGAAAGTGAAGAAGAAACCAAGAAGAAACATGTTTCAGGCGACGTAGAAAATATTTACGTCAACTGAATGAGGAGTTTTTCATTCTTGCGCAGTGTTTTGCGCACTTTTTCGACCAGGTCGTCTCTGTAACAATAAAAGCAATTGGCAAAACAAATTTGATACCGTCCAGGCATATAAAAAGAGAAAAGGCCCTACTACCAGTGGACGCGCGTCGTTCAACAACACCTTTGCTTGAGCTTCCTGCACGGAAACGCTCACTGCACTTGCTAACTCTTCTACTGGGGTATTATATTACAGTGGAACCTGGCCTTATTACTGTTAAGTTAAGAGGCCACTCCTGGGATACCGTCAAGTGGCCGCTTCATGGAGGTTAGCCGCTCAAGAGAGGTTCGTCATAAATTAGCATAATGTTTGACAGAAACAGCACTTTATTTTAAAACAAACACGCGACGGGAGCAGCATTTCTGTTCTACAATCGGTCGTCGCCTTCTATCGCGGACGTTTCTTTCGTGAAGCCAAACTAAGTGTGTCAAGTGCTTGATGGCTGTTTAATAGAACAATAGAACTTTAATTTAATTTCAACAATAGAACTCTCGTTGGAAGAGCCAAAAGGTGGCCGTGGCCGCTTTTAAGAGGTTTCAGTTCCCATTCTTTTCTACAATTATTTGGGGCCTTTGATTACTTACCGCTTAATGGAGGTTCAGTTTGTATATCATGACGCACGTGGAAAGTGTTGAGTATACTAAATACCTGTAGAATCTCATATGATACATCTTCTCCCGCCTCTACACACCACTGTTTAACTTTATTTTCAACCTCCTAAGTAAATGAAAAAAAAGAAGAAGCATTAAGTGCTAATTAAGGACACAGTCTTTGCGTCTCCTTTGCTATTTCTGATCTGCACACACTTCCTTAAAGAATTACTTGGGAGAATTTGATAAAAGTTCAAAGCATTTTTCCTAAGGTCAGTGTTCATTTTATTAAATCTCATAACCGTGTCTTTTGATAATGTATTGATGTTGGTCACCCTTGAGACTTAAAGGGCTAACAGGGAAGTTAAAAGAAACAGGACGACCCAAATGATCAGACCAAGATCACTTGCAAAGTGTTTTCGTAAAAAAGGGTTAGCAATCCGTTTCTCTTCAAGCACTAGCTCAAGGCCTGTTTCAATAAACGGCCAATGTAAAATGTCGTGCCTTTACGATAATTATATCCGAAGCATTGAACAAACGTCTTTAGCCTTCTTTGACACCTCAATAGTACATGCAGTTAAATACAGCTGTGATGGTTATTACTCGCTTCCATTATCCAAACCGGCCTTTCCCTCAAACTTACATTTACATGAAATTACTAAAGTCTCTTCAAAATTTTAAGAACAAAAACTGTCAAAGTGGGCTTGTATAAGAAATCGATCCTGCGCGACCATCGCCCATACCGCTAAAACTTCACGAACGCTAAAACACTGTAGATTTGCTGGCCAGACCAATTTTGATTTACCAAGAGAGGATAAAGGGGACAGAGAAGACATCCCCCATACACACCCTATTCCATAGGTAATTCGTCTCGAGTTATTTTTAGAATCAGGATAAAGTTACCTCGCGCGCTGCGTGAATGTTTCGTGGAGGTTTCGCATGACTAAACACCATGCAAAACATGTCGGGCGAAAGGCAATGAAAGCTTAAAGAGATCGAGAGCATTTCTGAATATTGAAGCGAAATGAGTCGGCGCTCGCGTGGGAAAAGGGAATCGCTCGACTCTTTGACAACCCGTGAAATCAGTTTAACTCGAAGTTATCGTAACCTCAGTGCTTTAATAAAATGAGAAATTTCGCCGGTCTATTGAAACCGGTCGTTTGTACAATAAAGCAAGTAGCAAGTAATATTCATGTACATGTAATTAGTTTTACAAATTTGAATTTTATTGTAGTTTTTTTTAAGTTGTTAAGGGCTGTTGATCAGTGAACGTAAATAGCGCTCTAGAAAATATTAAATTATTATTATTATTATTATTATTATAGGACGCCAAGTGTTATTTTTGTTGAATAATAAAAGACTAATAAAAGAATAAATATCAAACCAGAAATTGCTCTCTTCAAACTGTAAATTATAAATGATCCTGAGAGAATATTCACTGTGTTAAGGATTTCCCTGCTGTACTGTTAGCTTTATACAAGAGAGGAAGGGCGATTCTCTTTTAATTTCCGTTTCGCTGACACAGCTTTAGCAGAAATCTATCTTTAGTTGTTTTCGTCGACAAAATGAATAACAATATTGCTCTCCGCGTCTTCCGCCATTTTTTTCTGCCTCAATTCGTGAAGGACGCGTGGCTCAGAGCGCGGGTCATCCACGCGGAACACATTCGCGCTATGTGATTGGCTGTTGTCTAATCCCCCTTGGGATCTGTGGTCTTAAAAATAACTCGAGACGAATTACCTATGGAATAGGGTGTATATGGGGGATGCTTTCTCTGTCCCCTTTATCCTCTCTTGGATTTACAGATCTTATAGTGACAACCCTAAAAGTAAATGAAAGCCAACCATTTTGAGTTAGTTAATCACCAAAGAGGGAATCAGGAGAAACGAAAACTTTTTTTTGGTGAATTTGGTCGTCAATGACCAGTGTTAAAACTGCTGCTAAATACAGTCAACTCCCTTTATAGCGGACACTGTAGGGACCTTAAGTTAGTGTCCTCTGTAGCGAGAGTCCGTAATAGCGGGAGTTTATTTCAGTCAAATGTCTGAAATTTATTTTTGCCCGGAATTTATCTGCTGTCCGTATTATCGGGGTGTCCGTTATAGCGGGGTGTCCGCAAGGCGAGAGTTGACTGTACTCATTACAAAATGTAGCCTGAACTACGCTCTAAGTTAGTCGGAAGGTGTGGAAAGAAAAGCGAACGCGAAAAATAAATAAATAAGTACATGAATCCAAAAATAAATAAATGAATCAATAAACAAAAAATACGGGCCTTTCTTTTCACTTGTTCCGACTTACGGAGAGACTGAGCAGTAATCAGTTGAATACCTCAAGGTTCATTGTTGGAGTAACCCGAATATCAAACACTGAAAGGAAAAAAAATTGCTAAAATTAGAAGTCAACAAAAGTTATTAATGATGGCGCACGCCACCTGAAGGAAAAAACAAGAATGGAACAGCTAGAATGCTAGACAGGTTGCATGCTTGGGTCTTTTCACCGCTGTTACTAAATAACCAACATTAAGGTTGGTTGAAATTATTAGTTGTAGTTGGATACAAGTTGGGAAAATTACTTGTAACCAGGAAAGCTCGTTGTTTTTAAGTCATGATTTGATATAGCGCCCGGGAGCTTTTTCACTTTTGGTAGCCTACATGGGAAGGCGCTTATTCGAGATAGAGCACTGGTTAAGGACAGGGCATTTAATGTGTTTTTTTAAAAAGAAGCAACCGAATTTCCTAACAAAACTTTTCTTCAAAAAGAAACAGCAATAAACAGAGGGAATTCTGAAACTCTCTAGTCCATTCGACGTCGCGATAGTTGGGAACTTTATAGACGAGGGCCACTGTTTTTGTACAGTGGCATTAGGTGAGTAATTACAGAAGATAAACAACGGTGAACTAAATCCCAGTCCTCACTCCCGAATATTCACTTTCGTCTTAGTAGGTTCCAGTCCTCGCTCCTACTTATTCACTTCCGTGACGGTTCGAATACCTGCTCACACCGCACCAAAGTGTGGCACAGCTCCTATCCAATAAGTGACGCTCCACTTTCGAGATCGGCGTTACCGTTACAGAATTCGCGCCGAAATCACCGTACTTATGTGTGAACAGAAGTACTATCTGGGATGGTTTTCGCTACGGTGCAAGAGGTATATTGTCAACATAACCTTAGGCCCCAGCCCTTTCGTTTGATAAGGAATCGCATTCATGACAAACGGAATAATACGGCTGTTAATCAGTCCAGTTTGTAACTCTCTTAGCAATAAGTATATCACACCTGATGACATTTCTGTTGGAATCACGTTGGGCTGAACTCCTCCCTAGGATCCAAAAACAGTAACAAGGTTACTCATTCGATTACAATGATATTACACCAACAGTCGAGAAAGAGGTTAACACCCTGTATATTTTTAAAAGGCTCCGTCCGCACGTATTCGGATATTTTTGAAGACGTTTTTTTCCTTAATTAGCCTTCCGCCCACCCCTGTACGGTGTTTTCAGGCATAAAAACGCAGGTTTTTGAAAAGGGTCCCCAGAGTGGAGTTTTTTGGAAACGCGCGCTTAGCGTTTTCGTGTGGACAGACGCAAGTGCAGGTTTTCGAATAAGATGATGTCATACATCATACAGCGCATGCCCTGAGAGGGATGCTATCGTATTTTCTTCGTATTTCAGCTTTCGCGACGATTGGAATACGTTACGTGTGGACGCGTATTTTTCGAAAACCAAGAAAAAAAAATTCCGTTTGGATACGTGTTGACGGAGCCTTAGTCTCTTACAGAAAACAGACTGTTGTAACACACTTCACTGCTGCGGAATATATTTTAAAAAGAATTATTACATAACAATACTAGCAAAGCCTATATCCAGGGGTGTAACAGATTACACCTGCACTGAAGACATTATAAAATTCTGCATTGCGTAAAGCTATACATCCTCTTGACCAAGAATTCAACAGGCTACTTACTCCCGAAAGACGGTAATTATTGCGGAGGATTTAGAAGACAAATTCTTAGAGGGCACTTAATTCAAGACACTTAACCTCAGTCATAGTCCAGTTAGTTGTGGTCACATCTCCCAGTCTTAGGTCAGGATTTGCACTTAGCCTTGAAAAAAAAAAATCAGCATCAGTCATTTAGCCTGTGTACAACCGCCCACTCTCCTCAGATTTTTTCTGAGGGCAGGAGGTGGTTCCAAACAGGCTTAGGTCATTATCATAAACCCACTCGACCTTTCACCGTAAGTGTTAGCCAAAGGCAAACTTATTTTATGGGTAAAATATGAAAACTTCTCCAAATAAGAATAGAATACTTCTCTCACTTCTCTACAACGGCATTTTATGGGACACAGGGGCGGATCCAGGATTTTTTTTAGGGGGGTGCACTCGTCTCTTGCTCTACTTCAACACCAATAAACCACATAGTTTTTTTTTTCGCAGAATACCAGTTGTATTAGAAAACCGCAGGTCATCTCAGGGGGGGTGCGCACCCCCTGCACCCTCCCCCTAGATCCGCCCCTGGGACAGAGCTATGAAGCAGAGGGTCCGTTAACCCTTGGCAAGTCCCAAGAGTAATCAAGATCATTTTTCCCCTGACTATATCTGCTATATCAATTTATAATCAAAAGAAAAAGTCAGGAGATTTGAAAAAATGATCACCAAAGGGAACATGCTTAGATCTTTCATCAAATTCTCTCAACTAATTCTTTCACGAAATGAGAACAACGTTTCACAGAAATTAATACTATTAATAGAGTGAGGCACACCATTTCTTGTACATTTTTTACAGCATATAAAAGGCACAACACTAGCTACTAAAAGATTAAGTACTGAGATCCTGTTTTCTATTAAATGGAGTCACGCAGTCACACCCCTAAATATTGACACCCTTTTTAAGAGAATACAGGGGGGAGTCGATTAAAAGAAGAAAGAAATGAGTCCAAATACCTCTTCTTCTGTTCTTCTCTGAAGGCCATAAATGACTGAACTACTTTACTCTGTACACAAGCAAAACATTAATAAACCGAGAATAATATCAATCTAAACAATAATAATAATAATAATAATAATAATAATTCATTCTCTAATGTAATATGTAACTTTACTCAGTCTCTGAACAAAAATCTTCATGTAGAGTTCAAAATGACGTTTGAACCAAAGTGTGAACCAGAAGTAAGTTCAACAAGTAAACCAAAATTATAATAAAAAATATATATTGAGGACATGACAGGTAAGTCACTCATCCACTCTGTAGGTTGTGCAAATTTCCAAAATTAACTGTACTAGGGGCTCTTAGTCAATCAGAGATGAGACATGGTAAGTACAATATAAAAAAAGATTGAAATAAGTCATACAGAGGGTTATGCTCTAGCGTACCTGATGAAATTCTTTGGCAACATATACTTTTCTTTGCTTTAAGGACTGGTACAGAGTAACAAGGAAATACAGTACTCAAAACTTGATCTCCTTGCAACCACTCTCATAAGTGACCAGCTCTAGTTACGACCACCTTTGTGAAACCTCGTTTGAACTCAGTGACTTAAACTTTGTAATGAAAAGCTCTCATAAATGACGGCTCCCTTAGAGACTGCGACCACGTTTGGGATTGCCCAACTGGACTTTAAAGGTCTCGTAACCAACCTTTCAGAGTCTTATTCACATAAATCAAGACGAATGAACAATTTAATGAAACTGCACATTATGCTGATGGTCTAAAACATTGGACGTAAAAGTTCAGCTGTGTCTATATCAGATATAAAGACTCTCATTAAACATTAATTTCTTTTGTTTTATATTTATGAATTATTAATGAGTTTCTAGAGCTCTTGCAAGTGACCACCCTCTAATGTTTTATTGTGCAGACACTTATGAGAACTCATTCTCATACGTGACCAGCTCTGGTTATGACCACTTTTCGAAATTTCCGAGGTGGTTGCTTTTGAGAGCTTCGACTGTAACTATTATCTTTTCCACTAAACATTAAGGATTAGAATCCCAGATTAAATTTTGTAGACTTAGAAGAGCTTTTAGGATGCTCTAGAGCACAACCTTGATAAAAGTGAGCTGGCAAACCTTCAGTTTTATGATTCTATCACAGATCTATCATAGAACTGTAACCAAGATGCAAAACTGCTATATAGTCTCCTGTGCAGCTGTTTTTTTCTTGTCACACAACACTCTGAGTGACGAGACAAAAATGGCTACATAGGAGACTACTAGACTGCCAAAACTTACCATCTTTTCACCTGCAGTACCCTCGATAAACCTGGACCCATGCCCTGGGGAACCTTTGCATATTACTTTTACCCCTAAATTGACATATTATAAAAAAATCGATATTAACAGAAAAAAACTGCAATCATTTCAAAGTACATTTAATAAAATTAATAATTGAAATTCTGTCACTTACACAATACTCCCCTTTCTCCATAAAATATTGTAAATGCTTCTGTTGGGTTTGCAAGCCCTGATGGAATGAAATAAAGGCAATGAATCACAAAAAATTATGGATAGAAAAAGGAACAAAGTGGCCTTTTAGAGCTAATGATGCACCCAAGGTCAAACCTTCATCCAAAGCAAAGCCAACATTCAAAGATTTAAAATCATCCAATCCCACAAATACATTCATTCCACTTGATCCTCCAATTTCTTCATCTAGTAACCAAAATAATGAAAAGAAAGAAAATATGCTAGTCAAGGTTCACACAGTAGAAGCACTTTGAGTATGCAATGACTAGGCCGAAGCAAAACTGTCAGTTTTATTTTCCATAGTTATACCTCCCAACTAAAGAATTATTATAAAACCAAGTTTGAGGATCTGTTTTGTTTGGTTCTTCAAATTCTTGTTCTAACCTTTCCTTAATGCAAAGCTCTTCAAGATTGTGACAGCATATGCCCCTTATTATCTATCAACATTTTTTTTTCATGCCCAAGTTGCTGAATCTCTTCCTCTTATTTGAATCATTATTTCAGCCCCAAACAGTCAAAATCCTCAAACTCTGAGTGAATCTCAGACAAAGAAAATAATAGGGCATTTGGACAAACTGATTGGGGACAAAGAAATCTTTACAGGCCCTGGTACACAGCAATCATGTGACAGATCCAGTAATGCTGCATATGGCATGAGTATTAAAAAAAATATATGAAAAAAAAGAACTCTGGATGCAGATATAACTTTTATTGCAAACAGAATATGTCGAGTTTGTTTGCCATCTTGTTATGGTGAGCATATTACCATAGGTACCTACAGCCTTGTCAGTTTTTACCAAGATGATGCACTGCCAAACAAATCTTCACACCAGGGTCATAAGGAAGTTAAAATCCCCTAGCTAACATGTAGATCTCATCAAAATCCTGGGTATAACCTGTCCAACCCTCTCCCCACCACACCATCCAAGGGGAAAGACATTGCTCCATGCATGACACTTTAAAAAAATAATGTTCTACACTAACTTTAATTCAAAAGTTACCTGGAACAAAAGTCATGTGTACAGTTCTGCGAAGGGTTACTCCTTGAGACCGTAACTTTCTAACAGCCTCTATGTACCTTTTGTGAACAAATGAAAGACAAATATTAAATAAAAAACTGTAAGGTACCACCTTCTTCATAGCATCTATTAATGACGTCTTTAGGAATTTGATCATGACGACACAGTATTTGACTTGCTCAGTGGGGATCGGGAAAGATAAAGGGAATCTCGCAACCTGAATGGCTTACCAAGCAGGCATGATGCATGTGCATCACCCACTTTGTAACCTCAAGAAAAAATTTTCTCTAGACCATATTATTTAAAATAAACCTTGATGAACATAAACAAATCCAAAAAAAGGCCAAAGTCAACCCATGTTAGCCTTATGCTTGGTGAATAAATGAAATTACTGGTACAAGAAAATACAGTTTATCTATTCTACAAAACTACAAGGTATAAGAAGTGCTATAAGACTGTTTAAGTTACCATAATTTCTCACTTACTGGATGCCAACACATTTCATATCCTGAAAAGAAATGTTTGAATGATAAATAAATTTGGAAAGGCTCTAAATCAACTACACATAGCTGTTACAATGAATCACCGACAGTAAAACTTATTTGTCATATTCAAATTACCGGTACCATTTTTCATATTTTGCCTTGATTTCCATTTTAGTATGCATGCCTGTGGCTAAGTTGACAAACTTAAACAGTACATTAATGATGGAAGGACAACTTAAAGGATTTAGGAGGTAAAACTGTATATATTTGAATTTTCCTCAAAACAATTTTCCTGACATGCTGTAGAAGGAATTTATATATCTTATTAATGATATTAATAATTTTTGTTAAATGCAACTTGCAAACCTGAGTTCCTCTGGCATAAATATCACCATTTTCAGTCTTGTGCGCAGAGAAAGGATCATAAGTCCAGTGTTCCTACGATAACAAAGTAAGTTTAGGTATCAGTTTCATCTACCCTCTCTAAGCAATCATATCACTGATGTCTGGTAAAGAATATTTATAGATTTAAAGGGAAGAGTCCGGCATACAGAGTTGTTCTGTGACTGGTCCATTTAGTGAGCTGTCTTATGACAGTTTCGCCCACTCAGGCTCTTCAAGCACCTTAACCAAACTTCAGACAAACCTACTACACTTACTAACCACATGTAAGTTACAGCGGTTGATTTTTTTTCCTTTTACTTTAGATGCTATAATTGGCCTGAGTAGCCTATTGTTATTGTAAAAAATCCTCAATAATTTTGCAGCAATGTTTACTTTTCAGTTTCAAAAAAAGTTTGGTCTTACTTTTTTCTTTGGTAGATATTGAACTGAGTAAACTCACTGGAAATACTGGAACAACATCGATGTGGCTGTTTAACATCACAGACGGCAAGCTTGGGTCACTTCCTTCCCATGTTATAATAGCTGCTGTGACGTTACCAGAATCCGTCTTATGTATGACAGTCATTAAGAAGAAAAAAGTAGTTAAGCCATAATAAATTGGCATAATTTATACTCTATTATTTTAAAGATTCACTACAGTGACATTGACATGACAAGGTCATCACAAAAATGCTTGGTTCCACAACTGCATGCAGCAATTATTGGTGGCTCATTGGGCACGAGGGATGATTGCTGCCATTATACTGTTACATTCCTGGTAGTTTTTTTATGAGCCTTAGAAGATTAAGTCAGATCAGTGAAAGTGGTATATTAAAGGAAAAGCATGCAGTTGCAATTTTATTCGAGAAGGCTAGAATGTTGAAATATACTGGTAGGTGAAAGAAATAGTAGTGTTTGCCTGGGCAGAAAAGGAAGCCAGGCCTACAGTACCATTCTAAACACTGCAGAACAACCAAAGCACCTACACTACTGTTATCAACAAAGGTTGAGCCCAGCTCCTGTCTGAATACTGCAAATCTTGCTTCCTATCAGAATCTAGAGAGTCCATCAGAGTGAAGTTACTAAAATTGGCCATTCACTGTCTCTCCATTGTTTTAGGTTCATCAAAGTTACAATAACAGCTCGGGTAACCCCGCACTAAATGGCTTGGTGCAGGATAAAGGCTACTATATATCACTGAGCAACACTTACCCTTATACACTTAAAAGGAAGATCAAGTTCTGCTGCTATCTTCTGTAGAAAGGTTATAGCACTCTCTGATAAAAAAGAAAATTGACATAAGGCATAACACTGTGCAGATGAGTTGCTCTACGGGTCAAGCAGCTCCTCACTGAACGGCTCACACAATTGGCTGTGAAAACAATAGGATAACCACACAAACAATAACCCTAACCCTCAACATAAAAGGCAATGTGTGTTGTTTTCCAATATGCGTTTCTCATGTTTTCTACCTAAATGAAGTTTATGGCTCGTCAATTCTAAGATTGCCCATCCCCACCCCCACACCCCTCTCCCCCCAAGCATTTGTCATTTTGTTTTGGAAAAGCTGCAAATGCTCTACAGTGGGGACAGGCATCCATATAAAAACCCCACGGTAAGGCTTAAAAATAGGATGCAAATGCCCCACCCCAGGACAACATTAAAATTTGTATTTTCCAGTAGAAAGGCTGCAAATGCCACATTTTTAAAATGTCTTGGAAATCTCTAACACAAAACACGGGAAGCACCCGACACAAATCGCTAGTTATAAACTTAATTATAATTGCAAAAAAAGATCACATCCATCTGATTAATATCAATGACAGCGACTATAAACTAGATTATTTTAATAATACGTTTCTTCTTTTCAATATTTTAATATTAATAGTGAATGATAACAAACAACCGATGAGCTTAACATGAATATTTTCTTATCACAATGGAACCGTTTCGTCAGCGTATTAATTAACCAGTACCAGTGAAATGTATTGCAGGTGGCCTGGGGAACTGGACGTTTTGAGGGGGGTGCATGCTCATGCAGACATCTCAGGAGTTTAGCATCTCAGTAACCATTTATATATTGGGCCACTATAGTCCGGGGCCATGTGTCGGAATAATCATTCTCGTGGGCATTTTATGAACATTTTAGTTTCTGTACGGAAACTTATAGTTTAAATGGTATTGAATCGACAAAACGTTGTCTGCAATTTTTTGAAAGCTACGAGGGCCTGTTTTATGCAAATTAGATATGACGTCATTTTACAGCTGAGGACTGACAAGGAAATGTCTTTAGTATGATTCGGAACTTGTTGAATTGAATAAAATGCATTTAAAACTGGAGTGAAATCACATTTTGACTGTTTCAAGGACTAAACGAATAGAACGGATGTTAAAAGGATAATAACACGAGCTTTTACTTTAGCAACACTTGTTCTTTACTTGGTCAATAGCTTTACTCCAGTTATTTACTACATATCTTGAATGAATCTCCATTGAATTTAAGAGTCTAATCTGGACCTTTTTAAAGTTTTCTTTTAATGTTTTGGTCGACTCTTAAACTCCAGATAATGAATAATTATAATCCTGTCTGAATCTAGTAAGACATGTACAAGGCATGCGTTTTGATGGCCCTCCTGTGGTTTAGAACTCAACACTTTATTTGTTTATGCAGGTTATCCTTCCTTTCTTGTTTGGTTTTACTGTGCGAAAGCATATTTACCTGACGATTACTACTGTGTACACGAATTATCTGGAAATCAATGCATTGTTATTATTTGGCTTTGAAATTATCCAGAAATGTCTAGTGTAACTTATAATTCTTCTTTGGTCTTTAATGAAGGGAGCCCATTTCTAAGGGCGCTGTGTCGAGTTGGGCATCTGTGTTTCCAATTTCCCGAGAAGATATGAAGTTTTATTCATTTATTATTATCACCTTGCTACAATAAAACAATAGAATCATTAAAATAAATTAGGTGTATACCTTGTTCAGGGCCTAGAATATATATATACAATTATCTTCGCTTGTTGCTTTAAATGCGTTTATTTGTGAATAAGACTTTCCGGCGCATGAGTGGAGCACGATGCTCACAGTACTAAATGCAGGCACGGAAGATCACGGCTGTGGTTATGGGAGAAAGCCACAAGACTGTCATTACGTTTGACCTCCAACTATAGCAGAAGGCTGTGAAACTCCAGATGCACAAGGGCCCAGACTTAAACCACCTGGTTTTCCGAATTGACGAGATGCACACGATAATGGCTTCTTTGCGCGCTCTTGGGGCATCAATCGATGGCAATGGCTTTGACGAGGGATGGATGGAGGTGGGCCTGTGTGGTTCAACCACAACGTGACAGCTTCTTGAAGGAAATCATATGAAGCGCGCTCTCACAGATCACAGCATAACGTACTCTGCCTTGAGTGATTTGCATGTGGAGGCGTTTTTGAAGAGCGAAAGTGCTAAAAGTAATGCCAAGCACAAGACTGTATACGATAGTGTAATACAAGCATCCGTTGCGATGAACACCATCCCTTTCTGTGCAATTGGACTGGACCACGCTATGGAACACGTCAACAAGTTGATGAAGATTCGGGGAGGGCTGAAAGGACTAACACAGCAACCAGCAGCCATGGCAAGATGGTTCCTTGTAGCGCCAGAACTAAGTGGACTTGCGACCCAAGCTGAGCACATGGTGGGGGTACAAAGAGCCTCATCATCGCATCATCACGATTTAAGCGATGCGATAACAAATAGCTATAATGAAAATGTACAGAAGCTGAAGGATGTGCTCAAAGTGAGTGACCCTTTCGAGACAGAGGAACGTCATCTGGTGAACATCATCACGAAAGCAGTTATGCCAGATTACATCAAGGAGGGAGTCCTAACACGGGATAAGATCGGCCAGGCGTTGTCTGACACATTTGCCCAAGAGAGAATCGTCGAGGCCAAGTTAAGTGTTTGGAGCCCCATGAAAAAGGCAAATCTGAAGTCATGGAGGTCTGCTTGGCAAACAAACTTTAAGAAGAACAAGACAACTTGTGGCGTCGCACCCTTAAAAGGATGATAGAGCTCTCTTCGCACGCTTCTTAGTCGTCATTCTCTCAAGGCCTGATCTTGACACAAAGGAAACCATCAGTACCTTTGAGTTAGCCGAGTATCCAAGGGCACTCTTCTTCTCTGATGGCAGTTTGCGACACTGCGCTACCAAGAGCAAGCTGATGAACATCCTGAAAAGCCTTTTACCGGCCCAACAGCAACCTACAAACGTCTACAGTACAACCTCACTCTGCAGATCCCTCCAGTAGGCAAGTGGTCATTATTGATGTCATGGCCGTCGTTCAGACAATGGGAAAGCCACTGTGGGTAAGAAATGGGCGTGACCTAGCAAGCCATTTCATAGAAGTCATTGATTCTAAGTCTGAAGGTGCCACCGAGGTGCATGTTGTATTTGACCGCTACGATATCCCAAACTCCTTAATGGACACAAGGAGAGCAGTGGTATACAAGATTACTGTGGATGCTGTTATTGACAAGATCACGATGAAGGATCTTTTGAGCTGCAGCCAGAATAAGGAGACATTGGCTATCTTCCTTGCAGCACATCTTATCGAGTGCAAGAAAGACTAGCAGGCGACATATGTAGTAAGGGACTGGTAAAAAAGCATAGGGGGGGTGGGCCGGAGCATTTGGAAATGTGGTTGATAAAAAACACATGACCCACCCCCTCCCTTCGGCACAAAAATGACTGACCCACCCCTAAAGCAAGGTTGGAAGTTGCATGACCCACCCCCTAGTTAAAACATGGATGTTTGGTTTCCTCTTAATAATCCAATAAAACCTTGTTCTGTGCTTGACAAAATTTGTTGATACACTGCTACAACCAATATCAAAATCACAGAAATAATACCTTTCACTGAAAAGACAAATGTGAAAAACCGAACATTTCTTGTTTCGATGGATGTTATGAGTCTTGACACAAATATACAGCAAAACGAGGGTATATTGAAATTGTCTGTCACAAAGCGTATCAAAATTTCTACAACCTATTCCTACACATTACTTGCCGGAAATGCTTAGATTAATCCTCAAAGAACCTTCTCGCACATATTTCACCTCGTGTCACCCTCCAAATGTTAAAAAAGGATTTGTCAAAGGAGAAGCCTTGAGAATCCTACGAAAAAACTCCTCAGAAACAACCTTTGAGGAAAATGATTCAAATTTAAAAAAAAAAACGCTTGATGGACGGAGGCTACCCACAATCTTCGATAGAAAACCTACTATCAGAAATAACATTCACAAAAGGGAGTCTAGACTCCTAAAACAAAACAACAAGGAGGAGAAAGAAATATTGCCATTCGTGACACAATACCAGCCCTCCGTGTCTACTATAAAGGAAGCTTGAATGAAAAAATGGAGTCTTATACAAAACCAACTATGACTTCAATAAATTTTTAAAGAACCACTAATCATTTCCTTACAAAAAAGGAAAATCATTAAAGGACATGCTCGTTAGAGCCCAAAAAAAAAAGGTTAACAGAGGGTTCCACGCCCGTATAGATGTGCGGCCTGTCACCCTTTGTACATTCTTGCACAACAGGTTTGTGAGTATTTTAGCAATAATTTTAGCTGGCTGTGTTTTATATAACAAGTGTAGTCAACTGTCTCGTTAGTAGTTAGTGCGTATCTATGTAATAAAATAGGGTGACCCACCCCCTAACGGTAGCTGAAAATTGCACGACCCACCCCTTGCACAAGGCTCAAAACCTCATGACCCGCCCCCTCTCTGCTCCGGCCCACCCCCACCCCTATACTTTTTGACCAGTCCTTAGCCTCTAAAGCTGACTGTATGGCTTCTAGTAGCCTACCGATTCAGCATTTAAGGAGTGAGCAGAAGGAAGCAGATACTCGTATGCTCCTACATGCTCTAGATGGCACACAGAGAGGAGCAACGTCCATAACCATTCAGAGTCCAGATACAGACTTACTCGTTCTGACGCTCTGGGTTTACAAGAGACTTTGTCCAGACACTACAGTGATTGTTGGAACGGGAGGAAAACGAAGAAGTATTCCACTAGGCCCACTCTACGAGGCGGTAGGAGAAGAACTTAATGTGAAGGCTTTACCTGGCTTTCAGGAAGTGATCAGACAGGCACTATCAGTGGACAAAGCAAAGTGTCTTGCTGGAATACACTAAAGAAAGCTGAACGATCAGTTCTCGATGCCTTTTCCAGCCTGGGAACCACCGACACCATCCCAGATGATATATACATGACGCAAGAGCGCTTTGTCTGCCAGTTGTACATCCCATCGACACAGCTAAGAACCATAGGAGAGGTCTGATGGCTGCTCTTTAGCAAGAAACAACACGTAGATGAGCAGCTGCCCCCCACTAAAGCGGCTCTACACCAGATGACAAGACGTGCTAATCTCGTTGCATTGGTTTGGAAGTCTTGCGACAACCCAAATCCCAGCATTCCTAGCCCGATATTACACGGATGGCAACAAGATGGGGATAGACTGCAGCCGGTTCCAACCACACTCCCACCTGCACCTAAGGCCGTACTGCATTTGATCAAGTGTGGATGCAAAGGAATCTGCATCACAATGAGCTGTTCGTGCAGGAAACACAACCTAAAATGCATTGATATGTGTGGTTCATGCGAAGTAAAATGTACGAACAGGAGCAGTAACACTGATACAGTTGAGCATATAACAGGGGATATTAGTGACGACGAGGACCTTCATATATAGGCCCATCAGCTAGGTTGGAACTCAGACCATGATATTTAAGTACTATTGGACAAGGAAATGCTTTGCTTAATGCTAAGTCATTTATGCTTTGTAATTAAGCAATCCTTAACGGAACATTAACATTTGTACAGCAATGACACTAGACTTTTGTCATAATTCTAAAACCGTGGAAAAGGGATTGCAGAGGCTTTACATGATAGAACAGACTTAAAAGCGAACGTATGCACAGTTTTGTGCATTATGGGAGCATTTTGGGACATGTATAACAAAGCCCAACTCGAGTACCCGGTGTTTTGTGGGTCAAAAATCTAATTTACATAAATTAATCTTAAATGACTTTAAAAAAATTGCAGACAACTTTTTTACGATTCAACACCTCTTAAACTATATATTTCTTCAAAGAAACTAAAATGTTCATGATATGCCCACGGGATTACACATGGCCCCGGACTACTATATGAGCTTCTGTGAAAGACGTTACAATAAGGCCCTGTTTTGGGGCAGTCCATTTTATGTCTGCACCCCTTCCCCCTTCCCTTTATTGAGGTACATTGAAATCCTAGAGAGAGGAAAGCAGATTTCAAGAGTCATTTCTAAAGGTGTACTCACCTACCTCGGAGGGGGAAAGACTGTCATCGCCACTGACTTTTTTAAAAGGGAAAAATCCGACTTCAGGCGGGAGAAAGGGGCCCGCCACTCACCCACAAATTCTTGAAAATTACGTGGAACGTGGAGCATTCCTATTCTTTTGCTACTAAAAGTGGCCGGGTATTGTAAATTTAGAGCTATCCGCTGGAAGGCGCGCGCCGTAGCTCGGACATCAAATAAATTATATAAACGTTTCGTGACTGCTGTTGATCCGATTAGTTCTCTAAATGAAGGATTTCGTTTAAGAAATTAATAGTAAACTTACCATAATCTGGGTTTGGTTGTACGGTTTTTATTCTAAGATACTCCCTAAAAACTGTGACGGAAGGGTCTTCACCAACTTTTGCTCGCTTTGCCGCCATCTTGCTTCGGAGTGCGCGTGACGCGCGTGGTGCTCATGTACTTCAGTCACGCGCTTTCTATCTACCCTACCCTACCCGCTAATAATTACATAGAGAGCTATTTCTCTCATCTGTTTTTATTTTAACAAAAAAAAATCCGAAAAAAATATGATTCCGTCTATTTTGGTTGCATTTTTTGTAAACATTGAAGACAGCCTAAGGATATTTCATACTTCTCTAAAGAGAAATGTTTCTTTTTTCTTGCTTTCTTCACCCTACCCTCGGTCAGTTACATTTTACCCTATGTCCGATTCGATTCACAGAAAGGTTTCTTCTCTGTTTCTGCGCGGTTTCTTTCTTCCTTGTCTCGTTTTTGGACGCGTTTTCTGCGGATAACTCAATACCAAGGTAAGGAAATTAACACTTGATGTAGAGTATCATGGATTTTTTATGTAAGCGCTGACAACTCGCGGATCATGCAGCGTCGGCACAGGGAGAATTTTCCATCGTCGTCGAGTTGTTTCAGGATGCACAGGAAATTGTCTTGTGGAATCGTTCGATGCAATTCAAAAGACGATTTTTATACGGCACATGTGTTTATATAAAAACTGAACATTTTAAATAAACAGTACGTACAGAGTGTGACTGAGATGGGTTTGTGGAAATTGAGAACAATGAAAACATATATTGTCTATTTGTTGGGTGCACAATAATAATTTCAGTGACCTGTACGTGACGACTGTGTTTAATTTGCTGTAAACTTAGCTCAACTGATCCTCGCCTGCTGTGATATCAGCGCAGACAGAACAGACTTGCCGAGTCAGGTGAGGGAAGCAATGCTCCGAAAACGATTCCCATTACTAGGCCTGAAGTCCTCAGAGCACTCGCCTTGCTCCCAAAATGGGAGGCTGAAGGCCTCGCGAGGTCGCGGTGAAAAAAATTCATGGTAACGGAGCGGCGCGTGGATCGTAGCAGCCTGCAAACTCGATTGGCTCATTTATATTGCTCTGTCAAAATCTGTAGGTGCCATTGATCAGGTTAAAATGTAAACTCTTACAAAACTGCACCAAAAACATCTTGCTCTATACCATTTGCCCACTTTACAGCGGCTTAAGACAGCAAAACTTGGAATTAAAATTGAACAATTTTTTCATCTTTCCTCTCAAAGAGTGTCATCTGGTAGTCAAATGCATAAGGGTGGAATTGGAGATTTAGTAAAACTAAGAGTAATCGCAGCTTAAGAGAGTGCGTTCAAGATGTTTGTTAGCTATTTAGATAAATAAAAATACAAAGACAATCAAGGAAAAGATGAAAAACGCTTTATGAAAACTGGAATGCATGACCAGGAATCACCACGGGAGCATCAAGGTGAGGCACAATGTGTGCTAATGCCTCAAATCGAGGCAAATGTGTGTCGACACAAATGCAATCTATGTTAAATTTAATGGTGCTGTTGTGTTTTCATAGTTATGCCACCAGAACAATAGTTATTAATTGTTTTGTTTTGATTTTTACTTTTTGTCTTGGTAATTTAAAAAATCAGAAGGTCAGTGAGACTAAAGAAAAGATGAAAAGGTAGGAACAATTATTTTAGCCATGAAATGATGGCAGATTGTATTTAACTACATTTGCTTTATTTTTAAATCATACATTTGTTTTCGTCATTTGTAAATCAACAAAATATTATTGTTAATTGTGCACTAAACCAAGTGTTTTTTGAATGTAAGCAGTGTAAAATGTGACTAATCATGTTTTGCAACACATTTTATGCCTTAGACAGTGCCCAGAGCTTTTGAAAGCCAATGAAGATTGTACTTTGTCTAGCCCAGACCTTACATCATAACATACAAGACATGAACAGAGTAAATTATTTTTTAGCAAAATTAATCATTTAGGAGGACAATATAACTTTATCTGATAGACAGCTACAGTGTTCTAGACAAAGGATGAAGCAACATGGTACATTTACGGTACAAAGCTAAGAAACTAAATTAGTACAATAGTTACAGTACACGCAACGCCCCACAGGGCAAGAAGAGTCACGTTTAAACTGCATTTTACAATTAGGTTGTAAAACTTTCTTTTCAGTACTGGAATTGTCTTTGATGAAAGGATGAAGAGGCATTTTAATGTGTGGGACAAGTAAGTGTAATCATCAATAAAATACAAGTTAACATTTGTTAACAATATTTATTTGCATAAGGCAGCATTGCCAAAACGTCAGTTAAGACTCTTTTGAACAGTGTCGTTTTTACAATTTTCAAATTAACATCAAGTAGCTACACTGCGCAAGGAATTTAATATTTATTTGCATCTCATTTATATAGATGGCATTGCATAGAAAAAAATAATAATAATAAATAAAGGATAATAGTAGAAAAATACAGCAATGAAATTACGAAATGAAAAATCAACAATAATTAGTTACAACATGTCCTGACTCTTTTTCCCTTTTCTTGAAAGTTCAAAAGCAAAATAACCCTTGTGTTTACAATTTTTTACAAATAAAAGAATAGATCTACGTTATTAAAAAGGAATAACATTTTGTCTTGTTCATGTTTATAGTATTAAGGATGGAATATTTCAGGATTATTTCAGTGAACCATGGTTTTTAAACTGCATGAAAAGGAAACTGATTGGCTTAGTATTTTTTACTCATAAAGGTGACATCCCATGGAATGTGGCCTGTGAAAGATTCAAACCTTCCTGGCCTGGAAGGCTAATGAGCATAAAAAAAAAACTTCCACAGGAGAGGTATAAATTGATAATTCCACAACATATTAGAAAAAACAAAAACGTCATGTAAAGTAATTTTAGATATTTGACCTGACTGGAAGGCTTGGTACATCCTTTAGTATACATGGAGGTTCTTATTCAGTTTACAGTTATTGTACTATTACACAACTGTAAATGTTAAAAAGACTTCCTGGTATTTCCTAGAACTCATCCAGAGGTCCCTGACAGGATTCAACGGCCATATGACAAACATAAAGAATATGGTCTTTTGGAAAGATGCCAGGAAATTCCTGTAAGTTCTACATGGGCACAGAAAATGTTCAAATACAGAGAAATATTGCTCTATATTGTTAAACAGGCCTATAGGCATATAACCATATTACAAGTTACTTATCATTATCATTATTTATTATTATTGTTATTATTATTATTATCATTAGTATATAATAATAATAATAAAATTAATATTGTTATTCACCTTTGCTAGGCCAGGTTTGCTTCTGATGAGGAGCTATTAACTCTTCACAGGTATGTGGAAAGTCATTTTCTTAAAATACTAGGGAGCAACATACCAGTTTACTGTGGTGAAGAACCTGTTTATTTTGTTTATTGGAGGAACAATATTATTATATTATATGATTGCACAGTTCATTATGATGCTCAATGTACCTGTATGATCTGAAGGCTGTCATTAAGAGCCGGGTGCGAGGGGTTTCAACTGGCTACTATAGCAGTGACACCCAGCTACTTTTGTAGGAACCAAATGAAATCCCTGGCTGCTAGATTCCTCCCCCCCCACCCCCCATTGTTGTTTTAGCTGACAAATTGAATCTTAGTGATAACCCTGTGTATGTTTACATGGTAATTAGTGTATGAACTCCTTTAGCAAACAAAAACTAGAAAGTAGAGATTATACAAGTACGGCACGTCATATTAGATTTGTTTTTTTTCTCTTTTTATAATCTGTGTTACTTTCTAGTGAACATACCTCTGCCTCCCCCCAAAAAAGCCACTGCTACCTTTAGTAATCACATGATTTTTCCCGTGCAATTTCAGATAAATCAGCTCTCGTAAATTTTTCAAAGATCACAAATTGCACTCGCCTAGCTATGGGTTTGTGCAGTTTTGTTAGTCTTTGAAAAATTTACCTGTGCTGATTTATCCCAAATTGCACTCAGAATCATGTGATTACCTATACTAACAAACATTTTACTGTTTTAGTGAAGGCCACGTTAACAAGATGAAATCAACGGAGACCATGACAAAAGAAGAGTTGTACAACACAGCTGCTTGTGATTATGATTCTATTTATTTGAGTCAGGTGAGGATTGTTTACAGTGATTATCAAGCTACTGAATATGCAACATGTTGCCTACAAATTTGTGAGACTTTTTTTCTATTCTTAAAATCACTGTTTGCAAGCTGGTCCTCGAGGGCTGGCATAGATGTTTGTTCAACGCAGACAAGCATTATACATTTTCAGAACCAATTACTGATATAGTAGTGGTAAAGTATACATTTAGCCAAGGCCCAAAGCAAAGCTCTTGTTGTATCGTTTAATGAAAAATGTCTTTCTCAAGTAATTCAACTTTTGCATTTTGAAAGTAAAGTAAATTCCGCTATAAAATATGGACCTTAGCCCACGATCAATTGAAAACCAAAAACTGGTCAGTGGATAACTTTTTAAAAAATACATGATCTCACTGAGTTGTGTACCTCATGTGACACTGGTCAGCAGACACCCTTTTTGGACAGCTTTCAATTGATCATAACATGGATGTCCAATAGTACCACACTTAAACATTGATAGTATATGCCTTGAACTATATGCTATTTCACATCCACTAACATGGAGGGTTGGAGGTACTGACGATTTTGTCAGAACCAAAATTTCCTGCATGCATTGATAAACAAATTTTCTTACCCATAGTGCTTCGCTGTGCGAGAGCTCCATTTTAATGTTAATGTATAAATGTTTTTGACCAGCGCTGATTTAAAAAGCAGATATCTGGTCTTTTAATTCAAAGATCATCTGTAATTTATCCATTAGCTCTTTCAACAGTGCTGTATTAGTTTTATTGTAATTTTGTGAGTGTTCTATACATAGCAGTAAACGAAAAATCTTAGACAGAAGCATTTTTCATTTCATTTTTGTCATAGCATGCCCATGAAAGCGCTCGTCTCGCTTGTGGTTGTACTCTGTCTGCAGTGGAGGCTGTTGTAACGAATAAGGTGAAGTAGATGTTCTTTGTATCACACTCTCACTCAATTAAGGCCATAAAAGTGTTGCCTCGTAGGCAAGAAATTCTGCGGGAATTTCCCTTTTTAAAACCAGTCGTCCTGCATGAAATTGTTCTCGTTCAAGTTGCCGCAAAAATCGCCCCATGTAAAGGAATTTAGGAGTGGAACTTGGATTCTGGATTAAGTGGGATTCGGAATCCTTGAGCTGTATTCCGGATTCCAAATCCCAGGATTCCGGATTCCATAACCAAAATTTTCCCTGATTCCAGAATCCGCATTCCCTCACATGGGGCGACGAAAAGATCAAAAGTTTCCGTTTTCCTTTCATTTTGGCCGTTTAGGTAATTAAATAAGGTTATTAACTCGTGCATGTTTTGTTCCCCTCAGGTTCAAAATGCAGTGGCTATTGTAAGGTATTATTAATTTTTTCTATGTACAGTTAAAGAAAGAAAATTGTGCAAAGTTTTAAAACAGCCCTATATAGAGTAGTTTTATTGGCGAACTATGATAGTAAGTTTTACAAACTTCTAAAAAAGTCGTTGGGAAGGGTTTGGAGACATCCCCAATATTTCCTTCATTGATTCAGAGCTTTAATGTTTAGTATGAATTCATTTAGTATAGCAGCAGCCGATAAGGACTCCAATAAAAACGAAGTACATGTAGCATTGATCATTCTGATCAATCTATCAGAGAAAAAAAGATGGGCAGTGCTATAAAAACTATTGCGAGTTTCTTTAATTTGATTTGTCGTTGTTGTTATTGTTTTCTGTCAGACCGCCAGGTCATCACGCCGACACGGATTTTGCCATGGGTTATTGCTTTTTCAATAATGTGGCTATTGCTGCGAAAATAGCGCAGACTAGATGGAATGTGAAGAAGTAAGAATGCCTTTTTTATATAACGCATTGTTTGTTGGAGAAGTTCTGTCCACTTTACGCAAGGATATTCGTCTTATTTTTAGCCCGACGTGAACGGTGTAGAAATCGCAAGAAGGTTAGGCGTTTGCCAACTCAGTACACGGCAAGGGTAATCTCCACTTGGATAACCTAAATACAGAGACGCGCATTATCACGAAATTCACCGATACCAGAAAGAAAAAAATCAAGCAGAAGTTGTTGTGTATAAGAGAGGCCTTATTGCCCTTAAACAACAGAAAATGTCGGACCAAAAATAAAAAGGAAAGGAAAGAAAACGAAAGGAAATGGGACATACGACGGACAGGCGTTGTTGTTTGTTTGTTTTTCGGAAGGTTGGGGTGGGGTGGGTAGAAGATCACTAATGCTCGTGGTGGCGCACTACTGAGTCCTCCCCGCCCCATATCGTTTCGTCCTTCGCCCTTTCGTCCTATGCCCACCCTATCGATCGCATTTTTACCCTTCTCGATCTTCCTCTGCTCTCAATGTGAAACATGGCGACTGCAGGTTATCTGTTTACCCACTGGCCCCAAAAATTCACCTTAGGCGACCAATGCTGTGGTGGATGAAAGCAATGCTAGAAAGAAAAAACTGTTTTACCATTTTATCGGCGAAAGGAGAACAGTCCCTTTTGAAAACCCGTTAACTCGAGAATATCAATGAATGGACTTCGCTGATCACTATCTGTTACAATTAGGGTGCTCATTGTGGACTGGGATATTCACCATGGTAACGGAACTCAGCATCTTTTTGAATCTGATCCGAGGTATGTATAATATACTGACTGGCAATAGAAGTAGTGATTAAGGTGGTTTGTAAGGTTATTTTTTCTGGTTTTTATCACGTGTGTATCGTGATGAAAAATTTTTCAAAAAAATGTTATGCAAACCATGCGACAACGTCTTGACACTCACTTCACGAAACTATTCTCAGGCTAATATTTAGGGTTTGTCAGGTTTTGAGTTTGGACGTAATTTTCGTTGTTATAGCAGCGGTGCAGCTCTCCGAAACCGGAAGTAGCGTCTAAACCAAGCTTTCTTCACAATTTTTCTAATTTGGAACTAGTTCGTCGATTAAATACAATAATTCTCCACTTCGTTTTAGCGAACCTTTCTTGCGTACTTAGGTTTTACAGAAAAGAAAGCAAATCGAGGAATGTCTCGTACGCAAAACATGGCCACAGAGATTTCCTGGGAGCTTTTTATGGCGCTCAATTTGTTACTGAATAGAGTGAATTGGTACCTTATCGGCCACCACAAACAAATCCAAACTTTCTTTTAGCACGAATGGTCCCACTAAATGTTTGTTATTACCTGTCTAACTGACTACTTGCCTGCGGTCTTGTTGTTTTATTTCCTAGCGTTTTGTACTTTTCCATACATCGATACGATCATGCGCAGTTCTTTCCTTTTTCCACAAGTGCCAATTATGATTTTGTTGGTTGCGGAGATGGAAAAGGGTACACAGTCAATGTGCCTTGGAATACGGTAAATTAACAGCCATATACTTTTTCTGGATTGGTGTCAGTTGTGTTAAATGATTTGCCAGGTGCTTGAAAATGTTTCAGCATATTAATAGGGTTGCTAAATAGGAAACAGTTTCTCAAGAAGAAATGTCTTTCATGTTCTTTCTAAACGCTTTGTTCTTTAATGGATAATAGGTCTTTTTAGTACCCATGGTTCTCTGAATGAAGTTTTGTGAGGAGTTTTAAAGTCTAAGTAGCCCATAATGCTTCTATTGGACAACGTATTATTTGAACGGAAGAACTGTTCGTTGCTAATGTTTGCTCCGTCATTTTTCATTGATTGTAAAATTCAGTTGTTTATTGTTATTTCATCAACAGAAGCATATGGGTGATGCTGATTACCTTGCTGTATTCCATCATATTCTCCTTCCTATTGCTTACGAGGTATAATACCAGTGTGTGCACGCAACCGCTCTGAGGACGATATTTGTTTTTAAGTTATTTTCGCGTATTATAAAAAATAGACACCTCCGAAGGGTTCATTTTCCCACCAGAAAACTAGCACGGTTATTTTTATTGAAGGAGGTTAAGCTCCGAGCGCAAAATGATAAAACGTCTAGCATTTGATAACTTGTTCCTGCCACTACGACATTCTTACTAAGACTCGTAGTAGAATGACAACGGAGGCTATCTCGTTTTCCCGCCAAAATGACGCTGGTTCACGCGCGCGCTTTAGTTTTTTGTTGGGAAGATTTCGTCCTCGTAGTTAGCCTGCAAAAACAGCCGACTTTCCTCGCCTCTCTGCTCTAGGGATGTTTCGCCAAGAGGGACGTGTGCGCCTCAGCGACAGAAATTCCATAATGATGACGTAAATCAATGTTTTCATAATAAATCCGGTCGGTAATCATGGATTTCCAAATGTAAATTTGTCGATTTTATGTTTCTCGTGGTCGATTATGGTAAAGTTTTACATTCCTTTGTGACCATTTTTCTTTGGTCTGTCGTTCGTAAGAAATAGCTAAAACAATATAACTACCATGTCGACCAAGCAGAGCTTCTGACCAGATTCTGATCAGTATGGAATTTCTGTCGCTGGAGGCGCAGACGTCCCTAGCGGCGAGGAGCGAGGAGAGACAATTGTTTTCGCAGGCTACTTCGTAGTCGTTCCTGTCACAAAATCTTAAGGTCTTTAGTATCTTGGAGCCTGGAACAGGCTTACTATTTGGATGCAAAAAGGTCTTAACGAATGCTTACATCGTATTTCTATTTTCAGTTTGACCCTGATCTGGTTTTGGTGTCAGCCGGATTTGATTCCGCCCTCGGAGATCCAAAGGTGAAGTTTTTCCTGAAAACTTTCGTACATTAAAATCAAATCAAAACAAAACAAAACAATACTGAGCGACAAAAATTCTTTAATGAAAAGTCTTTTAGCCATTTTTGGCACGCTTATCAGAACACGAGCGTGGAACCAAAAACTTGGATCTATAAATACCAGACGGACGGACAGACAGACGGAGAATTTAATCAGTGAGCTACAAAGATTTCCAAGATTTAAGTTTTTCAACACAGTGGCGCTAAAAAACTACCGAAAGTTAATAACACTTAATGAAGAGTACATAAATATAATGCCGCACGGATAGTCTTGACTTTATCACCCGATATATTATTGAATGGACCATACTGTGAAACATTTTCGCCAACTCTTCGTTGCAAAAACGATGAAGTTAACTCTAGTTTTAACTTTCGGACTGAACGCAACTTATAGAAGATCATAGGAAGATAAAATGTTTTGACTCTGTTTCCGTTGGTAGTGGAAGATCTTCAGTCGGTTGTCCCCAGATGGCTTCGCTTCTTTATAAAAAAATCCTGTCATTTTATTTTCCTTTTTTTTATGCAGGGACTGTGTGATGTGACTCCTGAGGGTTATCATCATCTTACGAAGTTGTTAATGAATTTAGCAAATGGAAAAGTAGTCGTTGCCCTTGAGGTAAAGCAGTTCACAACTTTGTAGTATTTTTTTTTACGGGCTTTGCTTTAATATCCATAATAGAAAGTAGATACATCGAACTAAAAGAGTGTAAGACAGTGTCTCAAGGAACCTCTCGGCTGTTGATTGAACTAGTTTGAAAGACTTTCTACTAATACGTTGACATGCGTCGTAGTTTACGAAGATCTGTTGTATGTATGAAAGGGAACCTCCACTCTTACTACAGAATAAGTTTAAATCGAATAAAATTATGTTAATAAACAAATTTGTTCGAAATTTGTCCTTAAAAAAAGTGTTTATATCAGGAAAAGTGAATTTTAAAATCGCTTATTTTCACTTTCCAATTTCGCGGGCGCCGCCATCTTGAATAATTGTGACGTGTTATGGTTGCTCTATTGTTCTGACACAAAGAGCTTTTGTTTAATAACAACAGGGCAACCGTAACACGTCACAATTATTCAAGATGGCGACGCCCGCAAAATTTGAAAACAAAAATAGGCGAATCTAAAAGTTATTTCTTTCGGATATAAACGCTTTCTTTAAAAATATTTTAGATTGACTTGACTGTAACAGTTATTTCCTGTGATTTAAAGTTATCTTTTTGTTGAAGTGGAGGTTCCCTTTAATTACTTCCAAACTGGGTTGATTAGCTTTAATATTCACGCTTGGCTCCGGTTTTTGATGAAGTTCTCGTCCAGTTCGGAATAGATCATCAGATTGTGTGACGTTTCGATTTGTGAAAGTGAATGTTGTGGATTTGCGTTCCCATTACACTCACCTGAAAACTAATTCCTTACAGGGAGGATACAATCTCACTTCCGTGGAGGAATCCATGTGCGCCTGCACTTCATCTCTTCTTGGAGACCCGTGTCCTCGATTCAATGGGTCTATGACACCCTGCGAAAGGTAACATGACGTAAACATTAGTTTACAACTGCCAAACGTTCGATTGACCGTATTCCTGAATAAGAATACACAGAATAATCCGCTTTAGTAAAATCCAACTAGTGGTCTATTATCAATGCTGCATTCTGATTGGTTGAGCTACTACTAGGCTATATGTTATAGCCCACTAGTAGCGAAAAGCGCGGGCTTTTTGGCGGATTACTCCTCTCGCCCTCATGGCCTCTGACTCAACTCAGAGGCCATTCGGGCTCGAGGAATAATTGTTGATTATTCTTTCGATTAACCTGCTATTTCAGTTTTGGAATAAGGGGAATATATTACACACTTTCTTCTCCAGGGAGGAGAATGCTTGGAATAAAAAGAAATAATGAGGTCACTTTCCTCGCCTCGTGGCTAGATTTCACAGCTAGCAACGACGACAGCAAGGAGAACCTATAAAAAATTAAACCAATAGGGTTTATTAAGCAAAACAACAACATCACGCTTTTTGGTGCATGTTGTTTCCGTCACTGCTCGACTACGACTTGAAAGTGCCTTTCACGTTTTACAGAGGACGTAAACAAAGCACGACGAATTTTTTTTTTTTAAAACTTAAGTGTGATCCCCAAGAAATCAACTCCAGGTAAATTCGCCTACATTTGACATTTTCAGCGAATTGGATTAAACGGGACAAAATTTCAAAATAAGCTAATTCAGTTTAAAAGTGATATTTTCGTTGCTGTCGCCGTCGTCTGTGCTAAAGCTCCCTGATAAAAGATTTAAGCGACGAAAATGAGAAACTCCGCAGAAAATCCTACCACTATAATTGAAGAAACCTTTTGGGCATTTTTCCTTACAGAAAACTATTAAATTTCTTACTCGGCGTTATCTGTAATGCAAACATGCGCTCATTGGTGCGTTCGATTGATCGTATTCCGGAATAAGACTACGCAGAAATTTTTGTTACAAATCTCTTCTACCATGATTTTTGGACCATTTAATCAGAGTAATATATAGATTTAGCCAGGGCAAAAGCAAAACTCTCTTTAATATTCATAATTTATTTAAACAAAATATAAACTATGATCGTGTAATGCTAAAAAGACGTTGAAAACAACGAGAACGGTTAAAAACAACAACTTTGCACTTTGTGTCACCCTTTGTCCGGGTTGCCATGCAATATATATATATTTTAAGCTTCATTATGTTTTTATTTATTGATTAATCATTTCACAGGGCCCACATTGATAGCAGTTATTTAACTGAAGTGGTTACCCTGTATAAATAATTTATTTATTATTATTATTTACCGCCGAAACGCGTGGGACGCGTGAAATGCAAAATTTTACCTCAGCTTACACGAAGGGGTGGGCCTATGTACGGACGATTTTGTCAGAACCAAAATTTCTTGGATGCATGATAACCAGATTTTCTCACCCATGGTGCTCCGCTATTAGATATTGTAATGCCATGAATGTCAGAGCAAGACCGTTTCATTTTTCATTTGTCGCTTTATTCTGCAGCTGTTTTGAGACGATCATCAATGTTATTGGTGAGCACAGCAAGTACTGGAATTCGCTTAAGATTATTGGTGAGTGAGGTTCGATTGAGCTAGAACAAGCTGCAGAAAGATGTCGTGTCACTAGGGCGGCACATAGAGTAAGACTATAATCCCCGACTGAGTTTGAACCGTTGACAATCACAACATCGGTCACTGCTTCTCATGTACTGGGGAACCTTTGCTAATAGTTTTTTTTCCTCATTAGCAAACGCTTCTTGTTTTCTTATCAACTTTCAGAACTTTGAGTTTTGAATGATTACAGGGACATGGGCCCAATAACCCTTCTCTGAAAATTGTGATGTTTTTAAAAAGCTCTAAATGTGGTTCAGAAACAATTTTGCCTCTATAAATTTTGGATCTTCTCATGCCCGCTCAGAAGCTCTTGGCTGGATACGGTATCAGTATTGTTAGATGTCATCTAAAACCGAAGTTACTAATAAGAGCGCTCACTATTCAGTATTGAGGAAAAAATTCCAGCCATATAACAGTCGTCACCGTGTCACGAGCGCCGCACAAACCAAATATCGGAGTCCAAATTAGTGAGATTTGTAGAGTAAGCGACCGCTGTGAAGGTTTGAAAAGCAGGTTGAAGTACCTGGTAACTTCGAACCTGAATGCCCTCTTGATGTCTAATTTATATTGTATCCTTTCTCAGCTCTGCTAAATAAAAGTGAGCAAAACATCGAAGGTGGACCTACTCAGGCAAAAAAGGAAGTCATGTAAGTTAATGACTGTACCAATAAAGGAGTAAAACACAATTGCGGCTTTTTTCAAACGCGCTATGCGTCGCGGTTACGAGAGCTCGCAACACTCGACACCAGATCTTTCTTTGCTTGGCTTGCCTGCTTGCTTGTTTTTCGTCTCCTATCGAACTAAAGCTATCGCATTAGTCTACTCAACAACTGTAAGAGGTTTGTTTATAATTTGGAGTGTTATTGTACAGTTCTTATCGTCTTTTTTTTTTTTTTTTTTTTTTTTCATTTAGCTGCCCAAGGATACCGGAGGACTTCATAGGTGAGTTTTATTTCGGATTATGAGTTGTAGGCAGTTTTGTTGAAGGTGACGAACTCTTTGTACTAGTTCAGGCATATACAGAGGCCGGTAACTGATGGCAAAGTTAAAGAAGGTTTTATTTTTCTTTAGCTGAATCGTTGTTGTCTTAAAGCTCACGAATGAGGGAGCCTGAAACAGGGCAAAAACCATCGAGACCCAGCAGTCAGTGGGGTCGTGAGAAAGGGCGCGACGAACGTTTTCAAGCCGTAGGCGGAAACCTCAGTTTCGTAGCTTCTTTTCTCCCGACCCAACTGACTGCTCCGCGAGGATGGCCAAAATCCTGAGGATTTTTCTTTTTCTCATTGTTTTAGCCACATGCTGAATATACGGTACGTCGCATCGACCGTATCAGTGAGAAGCCAGAAGGGAAACGTTTGTTCTCTGGATTTGGAATGAGGTCAAGTTTTTAACGAGAGGATATGATCGCAATACAGCGAAACACTCAAAGTGAATCAGTTTTGACAAAGTGCTCACCGGTTAACAATGAACAGAAAGATAGCCAGTCATACGACGCCACCACTGGTTTCCCTCCGCGAAACGACGTCTGAGAAACAACTCTAGAAATTCCATGATGATCTGCCCAGATCTGTGTAGTGTTTCTGATTGGTCGTGCCGTGAGAGGAATTTGGTGAAGCACTACCTTGGTCTAGTTAGTCACACGTCATCAGTGTAGAATTTCTGTACTCGTGTCTCAGACGTCATTTAGCGCGGAAACCAGTGATCGCGTCGCCAAATGTCGGCTGATTTCTCAGGCTAACAGAAAAGCATTCAGCTTTTCTTTTATTTTCAGAGAGATCACCAAAAGAAGATAAAAATGCAAATTAAACATTTTTTCATCATTTGTTTTTTACGTTATAGTCATGGAAAAAAGTAAAGAATAGACCGCACTTTTTATTGGTTTACTGGAGAAAAAACCCACGCGGGATGTTTTCAATGAGTTTATCGGTGTTATAAACCATAGGTTTTTGGCTGATCAAAACGCTCGTACTGTCTCAGTTATTTTATAATTTGGAATATTTATTGAACAAGGGGGTTATTTAATTTGCTATTTAAAAAGTTTGCGTGCTGATTATTGAGTTGCCTGATTGTTTTCCGAAAACACTGGAATTTTTAAAAATCAATAAAAATGAGAAAATTCTCCCCTGTCTGCGTTCCTACTTTTCTTGGAAATTCCTTCAATTAGAATGTTGTTGTATGGCCCTAATAATTTCCTTTCAGGATTGTGTTTGTTATTTGTGGTGAAGGAAAAGAGGTTCTTGAATTCATTCCTTTAGGAAGAAATTATCAAATAATTAAAAATTTTTAAGTTTGAGTTCTTGGTACTCAGTTTGTAAATTATCCTTAGGCCCTGGTCAAAAGTCGAATTTCACGTGTGAGAAACCTAATGGTAACAAGCAAAAGCTGTTGTTAGCATTACATTATGTTCACAAGTGCAGTATAAGCCATAAGCTGAAATGATTTCATGCTAAAAAGCTTACTGCTATTATAGAAAATAGCTCTGAAGGTCAATGAAGGCCTTTTTTCTCGCTTTTCACTGTGCATGATTCTTTTTTTTTTTCCTCAAAAATTTCTCTTAAATTTGCTAATCAGAGTCCTTCCTAAACTGGCAATGGAAGATCTATCAAGGTTCTAATCTTTCTGTTGGCTGGCGTAAAAACGTTCCTGGGATGCTTGACCCAATTGTCTGCCAGCAGGCTCTCGCGCTGGAGTTTCGTCTGACACCTCAAGTTCTAGACAGCGAGCGGTCATCCTTTTTTCCTCCGGGGCCAGGCGCGGGGAGCGAAAAAGTAAAATATGCAAATTAATGTTTCTGTCGCCCTTCGCGCGAGCCCTCGAACTACTTTGACCCAGAAAAGACAAAAAAAAAAAAAAAATGAGAGACTGCTCGTAGTCTACCTAAGCTCTTGTTAAGCTCAAAGTGTTTATTAAGCAAAATCCCAAAAGTTGCAGCCAGGCCATGTTTACTCTCAAAGAGCATCTTAGAAGATTCACGATTTTCGGGTTTCAGTTGGGCTTGGATCGTAAAAATATGAGGCCTACCACGTCGTCATTTTTAACTTGTGGGTACGCGCGAGCGTAGACACGAGTTATTGCAGGGACAAAACTATGCAAATGAGTCACTCACTCACTCGTAGTCGACGGACCTCTTAATTAATCGGCTCCGAACTCGACAGTGCGAAGATCTATCGTTTCCGAAGAAGCAAACGCCCGCCGAAGTTCTTTGGGATCAAAGTCCTCGCTGACGCTGCTAAGGCTGTTTTCTTTGTGGCAAATTTTATACAGCACGGTTAGAGGTCTCACCGAATTTAAGACACGCAGGAGTCTTTCAAATTAGCACAATGGTTGACTTGGGGATTGGACGAGGAGAAGAGCATTTGCTCTTCGAATCCCCAAGATCACTGGGAGGATACAAATTCCAGCTGGCTGGAAAGTGAGAAAATGTCATGCTATGCTATTCTTTGAGAACCTATATGAACCGAAAACGGATCGGCGGTTCCATAGAAAAGGCGGTAAACTGAAGACTTTTCACCGCCGTTATGTAATCATCCTTGGTAGCGTAGTAGCGGTGAGGAGAAGTCGCTCTGAGCCAAAGATGTGGTGTTCAACTCCTCTCTAACATTCGTTCTTTTTTTCTTTCGTTTTCCTTTTGTCGTTATTTGTTTGTTTGTTTGTTTTTTTTGGTTTCTTATCTTTCTTCTCCCTTTTGAATCTGGTAAAGCGGAACAAAGATAGTATATTTTATGGATCAACCATCTGAATACAATTTACTGTGGGAAAACCAGAGTTGATAACCATTTGACCCATTTTCTAAACAACTTACCCACGGGTTGACGATAGTCTTCCTTTGATTGTTATATATTACAGTTAAGATATATGAGTCATTGACCAAGCGTGAGGACAAAACGGTTGTATATTGATCAAGTTCTTTAGTTTTCAGTGCTCACAATAAGCGTCTGCCAAAATTCGTGCTTGGAGAGAAACAAACACTCAGTAGCGTACTTCTAGTGTGCTAAAGATTGTTAAAACAGTTTCAGGAGCACTACTTGCAGGATAGTTTAGAAATCGATGGAGTTAGGGCAGGAAGTTGAGGAAAATTTTGGCTCAAGCCTGGCCGTTATCATGCATGGCAACGTGGCTGCTCAAGTCATTGAAAACCGTGGCACCGAACACGACTCTACTCGACTCGTGCCTGATGTGAGCAACAGAAATCCTTCCAATCTAAACTCTTTCTTAGAGAAGGTATGCCTTTATATCGGAGCCCTGTTCTTGTTCATATTATAAAGATGAGGCCTGGGACTAAGTTAGCCTGATGTCTGGCCAGGGTGATTTTGGGTCGAAAAACTTCGAGTTCGGGTTTGGGAAACATACCAATGCTAATATCTCACCGCAAATTTGCACTAACGCGCTGATTTTTGGCCCAGAGAGGCATCCTGTTCTATCCAAAGAACTACCAAATCCGGTAATTTCTAAGATTCTAAGATATGTAACGTCATACTTCTTTACTCCATTGATGCCCTCATGTGGACTGCCGAATGACACAGGTTTGCATAGGTTTACTAACTAGTCAAATCCTCGAACTCGTTTGAACACAACCAAAACCAAACTAGATGTTTTTTTGCTGGAAAAATTCGCCTTGACTCATGCGGTCATTGCCTTTGTTTGATTAACTGTGACATTTAGACTAGAGCAATGCGGAGGTATTGAAAATGGACCCCAGACTTGACACAGTCTAAACACCTTCCTGTAGTTAAGAATTTATTTTTAAGTAGCTGTATATGAAATGGAGAAATACTCTGAAAGCCGTTGTTTATATTTAATGGTCATTAATGCTCTACTTTTCTGTAAGCTCCTGAGAAGTGGGTAGACAGGGTTGTTAAGAGGACCGCATGCAAATTATCAGCTGAAAACCACTTCCGACAGGAGTGTGCTCAATGGTCCTTACTCACCGGGCTTACTAATTTCCAAGGATTCTAAAAGACGTCTTTCATACCATTCTGTACTAGTGCACAAGATTCTAGACCTGTCCTAGAAATAGATTAGAGCTGATGCCTTGAACAAAAACAACTCAAAGTTCTTTTCCTTCTATTACGTTCTGGTGATGGCTTTCAAAAACAAAGGTAATTTACGTCAGTTGCGATAGTGAATATTCGCCCTAATTATAAAAGGCTAACCAACCAATCACTCAAGCGGCCTTAAAAATTTAAATTACCTTTAAAAATAGCACTTTCTTTACTAACTAATAACACTGAATACTCCGGAAAATTGACAACAAGCTTTGATTAACCGGCTTGCGGTAGAAATTTTCTATCGATTAACGGGTAACATCTAACCTCGCTCGAATCCCGGCCAGGGATTAAGGCTGAAGGCTTTCTTTTCGCAACTGCATAATTAGCGTATTTACATTGTGCACCTGTGATGACCTGCGATGATCTTCTCTGCAGTTATTTCTTCATCCCGCGGCTCAAATATATGAAATTTATATCTTCATCATTTCAGAGACTATTATTGAGCATGCGATTCTGATTATTATGATGATGATGATAATCATAATGTAATTTTCCTGTCCCAAAGCTTTGTGCCTCTGAAATATTTCATCAAAATTTCCAAGCAGTTTTTGTATTATTGTTTAATTATCAAGTTAAAATTTTTTTACCAGGGAAGGGACAGAGAAGTTGCATGATTTGCATTACTTGGAGGCCATCCACTCCTCCCTCCTCCTCCCTTTACGGGGTTCGCATACCAGTCTTGAAAAGTCCTTGAATTTTAGGGGGAGTCCTTGAAAAGTCCTTGAATTCCATTTTTCCTTGAAAAGTCTTTAAATTTCTGTGCAAATCCTTGAAATGTCCTTGAATTTTCTTCAGCTCCGAAAGTAGTGGCCTGAAAAGTGTATTTTTTTGTAATGCTTTTTGGTTGTCCAAGACAAGATACAAATTCTAGCTCAGAGAAGTTAAAGATTTTATAGAAAAATGTAAAGGAGTTAGTGGAGGAAACAGTTCAAGCCTTAAAGTTCTGTGAGGATGGACTGTGAATATGCACTTTTGTACAACCTGTGAAATTACATTACTATAGGTGGTCCTTGATATAGGTGGGCATTAATAATTCATTAAGAAAATACAAAGGAAATTAATGTTTAATGAGTGTTTGGAAATCGGATGAAACACTGCTTAGTATTTGCATCCTTAATTTCTCCTTCGAAAATGATTTTATTTGAGAAGAAATATCAAACATTCGACACAGTGTTTCATCACCAGATGAAACACCTCGAAGTTCGTCAAAAATACCCCGCTGCGCGTCGTATTTTCAACTCTCTTCTCGGTGTTTCATCTGGTGATGAAACACTGCATCTCATGTTTGATATATTACTTAAAAAATGGTTGCCATTTTTTGTATGAGTCCTCATTTAGCTGAGTCAGTCTGATCTTGGGGTCTGTTCACTAAGTAATCATAACTTTTCAAACTAATCATCCCAAAACGCAACTTACAAATAAACTGGAAACTTGTTTTCTTATTGTATTGTAGCTCGAGTTTACTGATGTGATTGGTGAACCTCACGGTTTTCGTTCCCACGACTGTGTTTACAGCTACGCCTTTCGGACATATAACTGTGCCAAAAAATGCTGCTATTTATTCCTGTCGCTCCTGTGTGGAGTTCCCCTGGCGCTCTGTTGCGGTTGTTACTTTGCCTGTCTTGGTTTTGAGTACATCTGGTGTATAACTCCGTGCACAAGGGCGCTGCGGATGCATATAGAGTTCGTAGGGAAGATATTTGGCTACTTCATTAAGGAGTTCTGCAATCCTTGCTTTGAATCAATTGGGAAGATTTTCTCCAGAATTAAAGTTAAAGACGTCACCGAAACGGTTTGAAAACCTTAAATCTCGTTCGACCTGTTACTATGTGGGATGGTAAAAACAGTATCACTTGACTGTAAGTAAAGCTAGGTGCGTGGACACTCAGTTTTTGTCTTGACAGTTATTTAAATATATTAAGCTTTACAAAGCTCCTGAAAATTTAATATCTTTGATACGGTTTACTTTAATACAGTTCCCTAGGAGCTACGCTCTGTCTAACTTTATTTCTGGTTGTACTTTACGTCCAAGCATAAGTACCTACAATGTAGGTACCAGCAGAACACGGTGCTGTGGTCACACCTTAGGTACTTCATACGTAACTGTGAACATATTTGCTCCAATTCGCCGTGTCAGACGCCTTTTTAAACAAGGGAGAATGAGGCAAAACAGAAGATTGACCCAGAGCTAATTAAACAGAAAATATGTGCATTGACAGAGACCAAGTGAATGAATGAATATCGCCCTTTATTGTGGGAGCCAAGAGGAGCCCGCAGCCTGAATCTTGACTTGGTCAGCGGCACTTTATTAACTGTATAGCGAGATTTTTCTCGATCTGTTCTCATTCTTGAGATTCCGTTGTCCTGCCAACTAATATGCATGCTATTTGAATGGTCGGCTTTTTTCACGGTGTTGCGTTGACGCTGCGTATCGCTGCATGCGTTGGATTTGTACGGGGAAAACACCTATCGCTTCTCTAACATACGAAAACGAAAGGATTTCAATTTAAAAAAAAAAAAACAGCTTACCTTACATAAATTGTGTGTTACTTCTCTCCTGTGTGGTCCATGGGCCGATTTATGGCCGTTTTATGGGGTTCCTAGACATGGTGGAGTTGTGCCGGCCGGTTCTCCGAATATTAAGCCTGACCAAAATTCTTTTTTTTACACCCATTTTTAGCGGCCTGTTTCAAGCGTCGCGCTACCGCCGTGCTAAGCTGGCTCGACTACAGCACGACACTAGTACGACTTGGTTTCAGTCGTCGAATTTAATTCAGTCGAATAGAACGGCTGTCGCCGAAAACAAAACACACAAAAAAAGAAACAGTTTAGCAAACTGTTAAATGTATTCCAGTGTATTTATAATTTATGAATTGAGTTCGGCACGGCAGTAGCACGACGTTTGAAACGGGCCTAACATCCATGAAAGGGGTGACAAACGCGAGATTAATCCAAACGCGATATTTACATAGGTCAGGAGCAGGGTGTAAATCATGTTATGATAATCATCGCTTAGAATAAAACGTCGGATGATATATTTCGGTTTTTATTCATTTATAGGTGAGTAATCCTTCCCCCTAAACACCTGTACAGCTTTTTTGCATCGCGAAATGCCCCTATATTGATCTTCTCGTCTGAGTTCTTCATTTTCTCATATCCCCAAGGCTTTATTTGAAATGGAATAGTGGCATCTACAAGAATTTTACTCGCACTAATAATTTTTTATCCGGAGCTTCTTACTGGTTTAATACTATAAATTGAGTTCTCTTCAAATTCTTCCTTTTTATAAAATTCAGAGCTTCATTTCCAGTTGCCTTGAGTAGTGGTATAAACCTCCTTGCCCGTGCAGTGTGCTTTCCTTCTCCACATGACGACGACAGTTGGGGAGAATAGACTGCGTGACCAGCTAAAGGAATATTTGTGTGAGAGGCCCTGGCACCGGCACCATGCATGACTTTGGGTATGTTCACATAAGCGTCCACCGAGTACCTTACTCAGCCACATTGCCTGGGAACAAAGGAACCCGAGGGGGAGACTCCGCATATGAAAGTGGTGGGGATGCTCGTCGTCTCGCTTAGGGGTGTAAATTTAGGATTTTGGTCTCATTTAGGGTGTTCTGGGCAAAACGCCATCATATTTAGTCGTGAAGGTCTCGTTTAGGGTTGCACGCGAAAAAATATAAAAATATATATTTGATATGTGTATTTTAATTCGTTTTATTTACTCTATTCATATAATCCAAGTTTTCTCATTTGTCTGTGTTTTCACATGGTCTCTTTTAGGGATCAAAATAAGCTTGGGCCACGCCCAGATCGGTCTCCTTTAGGGGGTTTAATTCAAGTCCCCCCGGGCAAAGGAAGCACTGAAGACATGCTATTACGGGTTGCTCGAGATGATCGAGAGAAACTAGCTTCTCGAGTGCTTAGACAACCTCCAAAATGCTTCCACAACTTGAACAACGTACAGCCGTGGCATTCATGTTTATTTTTAACACTGAAGAATTGGCCACCATGACTTGTCCCAGGCTCCTGCTCGTTCCCAGTCGCCAATTATGATTTGTATAGAGCGGCCAAGGAACGGCCCGGGGAGGCCACCGTATTACGACATCTCGGCGAAGGGGACGATTGGAAGGAGAGAAGAAAAAGGAAGAGTAGTGTCCTCTTTCCTCTCCTTCCGACCTCTTTCCTAAAAAGTCTTCCTCCGTGCGCGCCTCTCAAGCGCACCCCCAACAACAACAAACAAACAACTGTTTGAGACTCTAATGACAGCAATAAAACTGGGATGGAATCTGTACTCTCGCGGGATTTATTTTATTTAGATTTTTTCGGAGCCGCAGCCGAGTTTCGGTTAGGTTTCGCGTTTCGGTCAATGTTAGATAGGATTTCGTGACGTTTTGACTCTAAATAACATCGACCGAACCCAGCGATCCTCGGAAAGACTATAAGTCGCGTCGTTCAAAACAATACAGCTGAGATTATTGTAGATTTAACATTTTTTTAGTAATATAAAACGACAGTGTCGACCGTTTTATAACTCAAACTAACTCAACTGCGATCGATCAAGTGAGCTGAAGTCGAGGGGATCATTTCAGTCATTTTGTAAGACGCCGCTGACATATCGACGACTCATCCGGTTTAGGTCGATGTTATCTAGTGCTTTCCGTGAGAATATCGTTTGGATTTCATTTAAGAGAATGTATGGCAAGTAGCTTTCCCCCACTGGATTTGTCTATTACTGTATCTACCTGTTACCTTATCAGAGAAGAGGTAATCTAGCTAAAGAGTGAGTTGTCATGTGATGGCAAACCCGCAATGGCACTTTCCAACGCTGCCTTTGCCATTTTGGATTATATATAGAATACCAGGAGCTCCTGAGAATAGCTTAAACTGCCGCTTACATGTCCTGGGCTTATAAATCTTCGTAGGGTTTTTTTTTGCTTATAAGTAGAGGGGCTTTTAACTGGAAAAGAAAAAAGTGCAGGCTAAGGCGTCTTAAGTAATTTATATAGTATGATTTGTTCTATGTTGCTAAATATATGATTTTGGTTCGATCGATTCGGCATTGGAAAACAGAATTCGTATTTCGTGTTTGAATTTGAATTCGGATTTAGATTTCCTTTTCGTTTTTTATTGCTTTGGAAAATAAAGTTCATATCTCCTTTTCCTGTGTTATTGAAATAAGGGAATAACAACTTCCGGCTGACTTACGGTTCCTTGTATAGGCTATTGAGTATTCACATGTTTGTTCAACTGCGGCTACTGTGTAAAGTCACTCCAAGATCTCTTACAAGACAGGCATAGGACGTTGCAAAGTATTGGTACCACCGACCCAGGTCTAGGTTGTACAAACGTCCAGCTATCCAACGTCAAATCACTATCCAGCGAATGAGTATTAGCTAGAGCCATAATAGGAGTGAGAGGGAGTCTCCCAGTCACGCTTTTGGGATATCTTAATTTCAAAAAAGTTATTTTTAGAACTATGCGGATCATGCGGAAACAGTTTTCAGTTAACTGGTTGACTGCCGGAAGATTCACACATTTACTTTATGTGGTTTTACCAAGCCTCATATTTTCCTCATACACCTGTAATAATTAACCTTTGCAGATCCTGCACCACAATGTGTAGGTAAGATTTCCATACAACGCCAAACATTTGTTATGTGTGTTAAGTAATGACCCGAGTAAGATGGATAGCAATTTCTTTTGTTATACGGCAACGGTGCTTTCCCCACATAGGAATGTTCTCATTTTTACCCAGAGAATGAACAAACCTACATGAAGGCCGTTAAAGCCCCGTGTAAACGGACCCAAAATTGTTGGCCAACAACTCCAAACATTGTTGAATGTTACATGTTGCGTCCGTTTGCACACCCTGTTGCATGTTGTTGGATGTTGTTGTGTGTTGTTGCGCAAAGTTTGAAACCGGTCAAACTTTTCAGCCAACAACTCCCAACATTTCTTTTGTTCCGTGATCGCCGAAGCGTAGCGCAACAATGTTGGATCCGTTTGCAGAGCTCTTCCAACATTGTTGGTGCCACGCACGCTCGTTACGCGTGGTTTACAAAGACTTATGGGTTGTATCCTTCCCACGATGCACTGCACGTCCCAAAATTGTTGGGAGTTGTTGGATCCGTTTGCACACCACTGCCAACACGCACGCAACAACTCCCAACATTGTTGGCCCAACAATGTTTGGAGTTGTTGCGTCCGTTTGCACGCAGCCTTACGCAATAAAATGCATTTACACTCCACTTTAAAAGCGTGTTTTTTTGGGGTTAAAAGAGTTTGAGGTGGATAGCAATTTCTTTTGTTATGCGGCTACGGTGCTTTCCCCACATGGGAATGTTCTCATTTTCACACATATGAAATGACGGCAGAAAAGGCGAGGAACAAATAGCACACATAAACTAAAGAATATAAAAACACCTAGGAAAACAAGTGAGCAAATACACTGGGAAAGGGAGTAAGGGCCTGTTTACATGGAGATGGGGGACCCCAGGTAGGTGAGGTAACCTGCTTAGGTGAGGTGAAAAAATAACCCTCCTTTACATGCAATCTTACAACCCCGCCATCCCGGGTTGCACTTTCTCAAGATTATTGAATGGTCGCCAAGCACGTAAACAAGAAAAGTGCTGGCAAACTACCTGTTTTGGCGATTAATGCACTTCTTCACTCACTTGTTGCTCTTGCTACAACCCGTCAGTGCAATGGCTTTCTATTGTTAACTTTAACAATAATGCAAAGCCACCGCCAAAGTGAATTTTGCGCGAATTTGATGTATCACGAATCCGACCCCGGC